GATGGAGTGACGGATGTCGAAGATGGTCAAGATCTCGGGCGTTGACATGAGAGCTGGGCAGGTCGTGGATGGGGATATGATACAGTCGAACGAGGAGTCGGGCAACTAAGCATTCGAGATGAAGATGAAGCTCAACATCGTTATATTGCACCTATAAACTCTTCCAATATCTCCATCTATCACGACCACCATCATGATCAACCGACTTGGCATCACTCGCTCGTCATCCCTTCCTCTGTGTTCCATCATCTCCAATATTCGCGAAAATTTTGCTGCGCCCTCCTATACGAAATTAACTTCACAATCAGTGATCCCGAGTGTAGTCATTTTGATGGCAATGTTGGAAAAGTTCGAAGTGTAAAGAACCGAGGGACAACCGACAAGCGAGCGCAGAATAAACAAAAGGTCGAAGAACATGGGCGATTTCTTCCAGATAAAAGTCCAAGACCTCATTCTTGGCAAGGAGCAGTTTGCCATTGAGCTGGCTAACTGGCTGACTTGAAGGATATCAGGAGAGCGGAACTCGCATCTCTCACTGCACATGGTGATCGTGGTGATCATGATGATACATCACAAACGGATGATTTGCCTCCTGAGCCGTGGCTTTGGGATTGATACCTGCGTGATGTTTGCATTAAATCGGCAGGACTTGGGGAAACCGTACCTTGAAATGCGCACAGTGGCTTGGTGCAAGCAGCTGTTGCTGCGCATATCTCCTGCTGGACTGCCACAACTTGCATTCCTGCCTAGAATGGTTTGTTGATTGTTGCAGTTGGCAGGCAAGAAAGGTGCGAGCTTCATCAAGCTCCCACTTCAGGACATGTATATCTCAATAAGCTGATGACACACAGCCAGTTCAGTATCGTTCTTTCCTCCTGTAACTCCGTGTCATTGACCTGGGGAAGTGCGAATCGAAATCACTTTCCGAGAGAGCATCTAGCGATGAAAGGAAATCCCGACCCTCATCAATTGAAGAGGACTGCTCTCGTCACAGTTCCGGGCCCTTTGAGTTCCACCATCACTCGTATGAAGAATGGGTGATGTTATGCAACCTTCTTCACACAATAATTTGAAGTGTCCCCTTACTCCGCCTTCATCGCCCAGTTGAAGTGATGTGGATCGCTTCTTGGTGGATCAAAATACCACAGCCTAATGCCACGCCCAGGACATTGTTCTCGCGTACCCTTCCATTGAAAGAATAATAATGTCTCCATAAGGCCTGAAGTTCTATTGTGATATCCCAATTGGGGGTTAGGGTCCGGAGTCCCGGAAGAGGCTCCTCAGGAATCATGCCGATCACAAGATGTGTTGTTTTCCAGGCCACAGCCAAGATGTCTGAATCAAGATATAACGATGCATTTCAACAGTGAAGGAAGTTCGAAACACGCGCCCAGAACCTTGGCTCAACCGCTCTCGGGGATACCGGTAAGGCTGCCGAGACATATCCAAACTCGGGCCGGACTGTCATCCTCCGGGCGGGGGTTCCAAGAACGCGAGGGGTGTCATTCTGACTGTCTTACACCAACCTGGAAAAGTCGCCCAGACGGCAAGATCTTGTGGGATCCGTCAATATTGAATCTATTTGTGATGACAACGTCTCAACACTTCTTGACAGTCATGTTAATGGCTTCAACAAAGCCGTAAACCGCTGAGGTCGGTCCCATCAAGGGAATCAAGAAGTCCGGGTAAGAAATGGAAGAGACTACAGGGAAATAACTCGAGTATAAGTACGCCCACGATGACCTTAACCACCTCATGTTCTGGTGATTCACAACGAGCAAGTTTGAGCAAGTTCCAATCTCATTCTTCCCTCTTCCCGTCACTATGAAGGTCCTCGCCCCTCTCGTTCTCGCAAGCGCGGCCAGCGCTCACACCATTTTCTCCTCCCTCGAGGTCAATGGCGTCAATCAAGGCTTGGGAGAGGGCGTCCGCGTGCCCACCTACAACGGTCCCATTGAGGACGTCACCTCGGCCTCCATCGCCTGCAACGGCTCGCCCAACACCGTCGCCTCCACCTCCAAGGTGATCATCGTGCAGGCTGGCACCAACGTGACGGCCATCTGGCGCTACATGCTCAGCACCACGGGCGACTCGCCGGCGGACGTCATGGACAGCTCGCACAAGGGTCCCACCATCGCCTACCTCAAAAAGGTCGACAACGCCGCCACCGCCAGCGGTGTTGGGAATGGCTGGTTCAAGATCCAGCAGGACGGTATGGACAGCAGCGGTGTCTGGGGCACCGAGCGCGTTATCAACGGCAAGGGCCGCCACAGCATCAAGATCCCTGAGTGTATCGCTCCGGGACAGTACTTACTCAGGGCTGAGATGATTGCGCTGCACGCAGCGAGCAACTATCCTGGTGCGCAATTCTACATGGAGTGTGCGCAGCTTAATGTCGTTGGTGGTACGGGTGCTAAGACCCCTTCGACTGTCAGCTTCCCTGGGGCTTACTCGGTATGTACAACCATTATTACGCAGAGTCGTCGGATGTTGTGAGTGAGATGATTGCTAACAGATGTTCTTCACAGGGCTCTGACCCCGGAGTCAAGATCAGCATCTACTGGCCTCCGGTTACGTCTTATACCGTCCCTGGTCCCAGTGTATTTACTTGCTAAATGGTTTAACAGTATATGGCATGGTGGAAAGGTGGTAGTACACCGTTGTAACATGTGAAAGTCAATACAATTGGTCTCAAAAGGAACCTCCTTTTACTCTGCATATCACCTTTATTCTTGTACATAGCTTCATTAACCTAAGTCTGCACATACGTACCTACTCGACGTATACATGATCAACGCATATCCCCCTCATCTACCTCCGAAATAAGCTATCTCTACCGGCCTACTCCTCCGCCTTTCTAAAATTCGGTGCCTCCCTCCAATACTCCTCATCCCTCAGCTGGTGCTTCCTCGTCCATTCCTGTATCCTTTCAAAGCTTCTACACTGATGTTCTACATCCCACAACAACGCAGTCCCATACGCCCTCTCCTTCTTATCCATCCGCAAATACTCCTCCGTGTACCTCTCCTCTTTTGTATCCTCATCAACATACGTATAAGTCTTGTTCCACCAATACGTCATTTGTACATCCCCATTACACATTATCGCCTGTCTCAGAAAATCGAGACAGTGCGCCCGGTGGTCGTGGTATTCCGCCTCCGAGGTGTTGGGGAAGTAATGCCCTCGCCAAAAAGAGCGCCGGATGAGGTCGAGGCAGTGAAGCTGGTGGAACATGGAGACGCCGTAAATGTAGGAACCCGGGGCGTAGTAGATCTCGGAGGATGGGTAGCTTAGTTTTTGGGAGGTTACGAGGGGGAGGCGTACTATGCCGTCGCTTGCTGGAGGTGGGTTGGGTTAGTGATGAGGGAAGAAGAGCAAGTCTGAAATGGATTGGAAGGAGGGAGGAGGAAGAGTGAGAGAGGCGGAAATGGAAAGGAGTCTCACGACCGAGGATGGATTCCCACGCTTTGTCGACGGAGGGGGAGGGGTCCTCTTGAAAAATGCGATCGGGATGGAAGCGCTTATTTTCGTACTCGATGACGTCGTCTTCGAGAAGGGGCGCTGTTCGTTGCGGTCCTGTTAGCTTAACAGCCATAGTAAACACATAGGTAGGATTCGGTGCCTTGTCTTACAGTATGGAGGTCTCGGTGCTTGGTAGAACGGGGAAGAGTGTATCCTCCATAGTGCGTGGAGATACAGGCATAAAATTAGGACGCTCAAGGCTACATTGATGGCGAGGACAATTCTCGCTGGCCTAGGCCACTCATCACGCATCAATCTCCAAGCTCTTGTATACTTTGGTTCTCGTCGAATGCATCGGTGCTGTTCGGAGCGGTCGGGTGTAGAGATGGAGTGTAAGAGAGATTCTGAAGAGCTCTCGACGTCGGGGACCTTCTCGTATTGCATCGTGATCTAGTTATCGACACTGAACTTGCAAGGAGACCAAAAGAAGGGAGGACGTACTGCAGAAGTTCTTTGAGGTGATGTGCTAATAAGAGGGTGTTGGATGCTTTATTTATCATTTGGCAGTGAGAAATCTCTTGGGTCCAGGTGCTTCGGCTATTGGCCCCGGGCGGCAGCTCAAAGTGGGCATATTCCATATAGTGTACTCCAAGCTCCTTTAGGTTGCGGGGAGGAAAATCATTCATCGTCGATGTGGCTGTTAAACTCCGTGGTGTATCGGAAAGTACGAATGGTGCACCTGCCCCTCCTGGTGCAACGGCTGCAGCTGACATCACATCTGACAACCCGCGCAACAACCCGACGAAAGCCGGTGCATCGGTGACTCGAAATCATATACTCGGATTTTGTCAGGCACGCGATGGACGGCACAAGGTAAGCCTACTGAAAGTATGGTCCTGCCGTTGTTAGGTACTCAGAACCAAAGCGCATCGTGAAGCCATCACCATCGGACTTAAACCAATCCTGTCCCGTTCTCAGAATGCTTGGATGGTTCTCACTCGACCGGCTGCGCAAGGCCAAGACGGAGTGTATCCAAAACGGTTAAAACCGTACCAGGTATTTTCCTTTGAATGCTTTCGTGTCCACATCAATTCTACCGCTATGTGTTCTCCGATCTGGCGGTAAGCGTCGAGATGGATGCAAAGGTCGATCAATTCTTACTCCAAGACCTGATAGCTAACGAGTATGGCGTTGTGGTCCCCACCCGTCAACCACAGAAACATTCGATCCCGAGCATCTAAGAAATCTGAGTGTTCAAGATGGCATCAGCTTGTGATCGTGGGTCGGTAACACCGTAACCGCCATTGCATCACGCAGTCAAGCACTTGGTTACCGTTCGCCAACATTGGCCCAGAATCGATGTACCTGAACGTTTCCCTCGCGTGCCAAAGTCTCCGATAGACTCTTGAGCAAAGCAAGTATAAGGATCCGACTTCACCTTCACCAGAGTCTGGATCATTAGCGTCGGCATCAGCATCAGGTTCAATTATAGCGTCACCAACTGCCACCACCACCTTTAACATCCCACGAACTCAAAAATGCGATTCATCATTTTGCTCTCCCTCCTTACGGCCCTCATCGCCGCCTCCCCCATCCGCTCTCCTCGAAGCCCCAATACTGCACTCGCACCGATCAACAAGCGCTTCGAAGCCAGTGTCCCCTGGATCTGGCGCCCTAAGAAGGCGGACTTCGAGCAATTTGAAGATGAGGGCGACGAGACCGCCACCGAATCCAATGCCGACGCCAATGCCGTAATCAACAAGCGCAACAACGGCCCCTGGCACTGGCAGACCTCAAAGGAGATCTCCGGCCAGTTCAAGGATGGCGCTGCTGATGTTGCTGCGGGTCATGCCCTTGACAAGGCCCCTGGTGCTGCTGAAGGTGCGAAGGGTGGGCAGAAGTGAGCTGTTGCTAGGTACCTAGCTGAGCCTTGCCGGTGAGTAACTTTGTCGATATCGATGACCTGCCGAGAAGTATCGTCTGCGTGCTAATGTTTGCGTTAGGTGCCATCGAGTGGAGCAGTTTTCTTTGGGTTCCATGATGGGCGTCCTGGGATGGTGTGTGGGACTAGGAGGCGTGATGGATTCATGGAGGCGGTTGGAAGCTAGGTGGAATAGTCTGAGGAAACGTATAGAAGAAAGGGTCATGACTATCTTTACTTACTTGGGAGGTCCTGGATGCTTGCCATTATTCAACATAAGACACACCGGCCTTTTTTTTTTTTTTTTTTTTTTTTTTTTTTTTTTTTTTTTTTTTTCTTTTAATTCGGACTCTATATAAGCCATTTTCCTCTTTCGAATTGCTTGCTCCTATTAATCAGTGATACCATGTAAGGTGCTGAGTGAGACAGGTAGTGAAGCTATAGCCCACCCTAAGCTGGTGATGACGGAGGAGGCGAGGAAGCTGGCGAGGATACTATTGTGGGAATTTGTGGTGTTTGTGGCGCGTTGGTGGTCGCCGAATTCGAGACAGGGGTATGGGTTGCCGCGTCAAAGGTTTGATGGGTGTCGAGGTGTTATGTGGTGCTGGTTTGGGTTGTTTCGTTGGTGGATTTGGTGACACCGAAGATGTTGAATGATGCGGCGTTTGGGTGATATGGAGAGATATGGAGAGGGTGGTGAAGGAGATTCAGAGAATGGGCAGATGGTCGATGTAAGGATCTGTGCCGTCAGTCTGTTAGGTGCGGAGATTTCCACGAGGTTCAGTTCCAAAACAATTTATTGATTCTGGACACCCTACCTTTTCCATATCTAGGTATGCAGCTATCCCTTCGCTCATCCAAACATGCCTGCTCAATTGTTTATCCAGATCCTGAACATCGTTCTACCTATCTTGGTTCATAGCTTCAAATCATCTCCCGTCGATCTCTTCCTTGCCCGCTGGAAAAAAAAATCTCACTTTTCCGAAACAAACATTGACCCCATCCATCCGTATGCCCGGCTCAGCCGTCTGCCGATTCGCCTTGCCATCATAAAGGTGAGCTTCCCTTTAGGATGCGGTTCATGGAATTGGATGGCCCGTTCAACATCCAGGCTGGTAGGACGAAACTGCCAGACAGATCCATACAGCTTCTCGGCCATAAATCCGGTAGAGGTCATGGCATGTAGGAAGTCGTTCCAGGGAATCTCGCCAGGGCTGGAGGTAATGTTGGGGTTGTAGAACAGCGTACGAAAAACCTTGATGGATCTAGCATCAACGGCAAAAGTAGGCTGTTTATCCCCAGTCACGTCCGGGGTGGGGGTTTGTTCCGGAGTGCTAGGCTCCGTTGAGGCATTCGTAGTTCCACGCGTCTTAACCTTGATCTTTGGAGACGGGGTAGGCTCGGATTTGGGAGCTGCGAGGCCGAAGAAGAAAGAAGAGAAGGGGACGATCAATTCATCCACATCTGCGACAGTTGTTTTCGCCCCTTTGTCGTCTGCACTTGGCGCGGGAGATTCAACCCACTCAGGTGTTCGCTGAAGACTTCGCCATTGAGTAAGGAGTCTCCGCACGAACGTGTTCTCAAGGTTGTTTGCGTCCTTGTACATGATTCGATCGACACCCTTCCAGAATTCGTCGAGGTTGCCTTCTGCACTTCTCAGAGCCTCCACATTCTCCTTGGTGCGGCGCTTGTCGACGGGGTAGAAAAATCTCCTAGATGCAGGCTTACCCAGCCGGACAAGTGAATGGAACCTGCCCTGCTTTTCACTGGTAGCCCTGACAATAGCTGCCCAAGGCTTGCTAGTTTCGGCAAACGCAGCCTTGATGTTATCCTCATGGTCGATATTGAGACTCTCAAAGCTGCGGGCCCACGGCTGGTAGCAGTCAAGCTGTCTCATACACTGGGTAATGATGGACAGCTGTCCGATTAAGCCAGCAACATAGGACGATATCATACGGCTAGCTTCCTTTTCAGTTTCCAGCAGGCGCTCCAACTCGTCCACAATTATGGGCTGTGAGGCGAGGAACAGGTCCATGCCGTCCTCCCACAGCGTCCTCAGAAGCCAGACCAACCGCTTTTCTACTGGAGTCAGCTTGTGGTTAGGGTTGAAGGCGACTGCGACGTCGTTCAGATCCCGCAGTGATCCCTGGGCTCGGATCGAGAGATATCTCATGGGCGGCGACGACATGACTGTCTGTTTCAGTTCGCCAAGGACACCCTTGGTGGCCTGGTAAAGGTAGAAACGGAATTTGAGTAACGCCTTCAGATACTCCTTGGGTAAGTCGTCCTTGACTGATATGGCCTTTGCATATTTTTCTTGGAGACCTTGCAACTCTTGGGCTTGGCGATGAAGCTCGTTGTATACCTCAACGTCCATGTAAGCCGTCTTGACAAGAGTGGACAAGATACGTGACCATAAAACTTCCTCGTTGACGGGATAGGATTTACCCCAGCGGTCTTTGAGGGTCTCTGGGCGATGTTCTTGCAATTCCAGGGCTTTGTCGACGAAATAATTGGGATCCTCACGTAGGGACCACAGGTGATCTTCACTGGCTGCCGCTTGAGCGCCCAGAAGCGACTCGATGCGGCCAAAGTCAAGTTTGGCGGGTACTCTGTAAGGAGCTTCAGCAGCCAAGACAGCAAGAGAATCGAATCCGGTTGTCTCACTTTCTTCTTTCATGTGTGGCTCGGGCTGGACGGGATATGAGCTGCTCAAAAGCTTGTCTTTGGGGATCTCGTGAAGAATCTCGGTGCAGCATTTGATCAAGAAAGATAGTAGGCGATCCTGAACTTCCAACACAAGAAGTCCTTCACCGGGCAGGAACTGTCTCTGACTCATGGCCAACTCGAAGTTGCTGGGGTGCTCGTCCCAGGACAAAAGCTTGCCGTAATCGTCAGGGTGCTTTTCGTCGACGCCGTTGAGGATCATGGTGTGCTCGTTAAGGAAAATGGGTACAACGGCTTTCGTAACAAAGGCAAACTTTGTATTGGTGGCATCGATGGCGGCAAAGGTACAAGGGTGGTGGCGTCCGCGCGAGTTTAGCAGCAGTGGCAGTAAACGAGGACGAGAGAGATCCTCTTGGTTGATATAAGGCCACATGAACCAATCTTTGTATTTGGTGCCCGACATGCGCTGTTGTTCAGACTCCTTGAGGAAGGCCTCAAAGTCAGGACGATGATTGGGGGCCATGTTGGGCCATGCCTTGAGCAGGATCTGGAGACGCTGTTCCTTCTTCTTCTTGGCCCAGCGTTTTTGGATAGTGTCTTCATGTCGTTCAAGGATATCGTGCAACTTGGCGTAGGAAGCGAATATGCTGTCACGTCTTTCCTTGGCCGTGCGGCGGACGGAATCTGGGGATTGACTTTCTGGGATGGGTAGCCCGCCTGGGCCGCCGCCGCCCAGGGCCTTGAAGATGCTCGCGGGGTCATTGAAGTCGATGTCGTCAAAGTTGATACCGGGACCGTCAAAACGTTCGGCATCGGCACTCCAAGGGTCAAATTGATGATTGGGACGGAGATCCATGACTACTGCCCGCCGCCTCTCAAAAAATGGTTGGACGAGGATGAAGGGGGATGGCGTGTAAGTGGTGAGGAGGTCCCAGTGAGGTTGTAGTCGAAATCGGAACCGGAAGCGGCTTGACGTCGAAGCAGCCGTCCCCACCTGAAAAGCGGGTCTCTGACAGCTGTGTGAGCTGGAGCTGTCCCAACCTTGCCAAACTTGGCAGGTGCCAGGCATCTGTCTTGGCTCAACATTGTCTGCTTGCTAAAAAAGAAGTGAACGATCTCAACGCATGCTGTTGCATTCAACTTGGCATCCTCGCAGACTTGAGTCAGAATTATAATGTCCATCCTCCTCAAAGCTGGTTTGCTCTGCAGGACCTTAAGTCCATCGCTGCAACACGCTGTCTTCTCGTTTGCAATCAGATCACCTATCCGCCTCGCCCATTACAACTCAGCGACTCCCAACACATCTCTTGATCTCCCTCTTCTTTCTTACTCTGCTTCTCGTCATGAATATTCATTGTTTATTGTCCCAAAGCTGTACCAATTTATCATTGCATTAACCTCCAGCTCTTTCTCCCATTTCGCCATCAATGATTATCAACCTCCTCGTTTCTTCTGCTTCTTCCCTGCATCTGGTTCCCTCCCATCGCAAGCAACAATCAACAACTTATTAACCCTGATGACCTCGAGTCCCTTGCCATCATCATCTTTCTTACCCTGCTCGATTCCGTTACCGCCATCACCCCTGCTTCTCTTCTCGGCTCTCTCTTCACTGTCCCCATCTTCATGTTCATCTCTCTTCCTCTTAGCACCCAACTCACCCTTTCCTTCACCTCCACCGCTTCCACCGTCTCGCAAATCTGCCTTGACGTTTCCAGGCCTTTGTCTCCTCCTCCGCCTCTTCTCCGAACCAACAGCAATCTCAACATCCTCCACCCACAACCTCCAAATATCGTCCACCAGTCTGTACTGCTTCAATTTCCCCTTCATCTTGATCACCGGTATTTTGTTGATGACTTCATCATGTGTGGCGAGCGTTTGGGCGATTACGCGGTCAAAGGTTGTGAGGACGTGATCGGTTAGTTTGTGGGTCAGGGATGCGAGGGTCTGCTGTCGCTGTTGCTGTGGCTGGGACTGGAGTTGTGGTCTTAGGTCTCTTGGCGTGGTGGATGAGGAGGAGGAGGAAGCATGGGTGCTGGTGCTGGTTTTCATACTAATAATTGGAGACGAGGGCTCGGTTGTGGTTGTGGTGCCAGTTATATCAATGGGATCGCCTGCTTCACTACCAGTCGGCTCAGTTGTCAGGTTGATAGGGTGGTCCAGGGCGGCGCCGGGGATGATTGGAAAACGGCCGGCAAGGATGAGCTCGTCCATTGCTTCGATCAGGGCGCTACCGAGGCTACCATCGCGGTAAAGTGTGAGGTACTCTTTGGGAGCGCTGTGGTTTGAGGACATTTCTGGCTGTAGTGAGCTTGCATATGTGTACGTACTATATGCCTTTCCCGTCGTTGTTGCCCTGCTCAGCGGTCTAAGCTTCAGCGGTTGAATTTCGCACGACCTTGGCCTAGCTGGCAGAGCTTATATAGGTGAGATTATCACGCAAAGTGGAAATGGGCGGTTGGGAAGATTGTGAATAGAGCCGATGGGTAATTTGGGAATATATAAGAACCGTGATCCACAGAGTCACTGACCACTGAGCCACTGCTATTGTCGGACCGCACTGTGATTCACGTGTTTAAGGTTTTGCGGGCCATCAACGGACCTTGATGGGTGCAAGGACTGGGCCAGAATTGAAGGTTCAGTGCTATTGCCTGGGGCAAAAACGGAAAAGTGATATCTTTCATCTCTCGCTCGAAAACCTTCTTGCTACCCCAACAATTCTTCACTTAAAGAGCCACAACAGTCACCAATGGCTTTCCTTATCCAAGGTCAGTGCCGCTGGAAGCAAACAGCGCAGGATCGTTGGGCTCTGACCGAGTGACGCGAATCCAGAAAGTCTCGTATCAAGCACCAATCCTGAAAGAGCTCATATTGGTAACCTACACCAGCCAAGCTCTGTTTCCGATGACCCATTCCGAAAGAACAGAAAGAGCAGGCACTTACCAGATAATTGGCCCAATTTCAACTGGTTTGTCTGCGGGGAAGAAAACCCATCTAAAGAGACATATATAGAACTATCTAGTTAAGTTACTACTTCAAGAAACAAGATGGAATTGGAAGTTCTGTGGATCTTTAACTGTTTGGATTCAACATAGCTCTTGCAATCCGCGATCTTCCTCGATACAGCTAAAGGTTTTACCAAAGACAAGTCCACTGATCGCATCAAAAGTGAAGTATCGAGATTTGCTTATGAGGTCCATCGGCCGGAATTTTACTCCATTCGAGATGTACCTGTCTTCAGCTAGCTTGATAAAGGCAACTACTCGGCTGCCTAATTCCGCTTCTATTGAGCGGTTTTCCTTGCCAAAGTACCTACTAGTCTAGAGTGGCTTGGTGGTTGGTATCATGCAGTATCCTTCACTCGAGTCATCTGTCAAGACATTGCTGGGCGCAATGCGTATATGTCGATGCGTTTTGGTTGCACAACTGATCAGAGATCCAGACAATACAAGAACTTGCCATACTTGTCGTAACACTCCATTGCAGCTTGGGGTTGCCGCCATTTCAAGGCCGCCATAGGATATGCACGTCAGTAGCAGAAGACAGTAAAGTTCCTGATGGCTGTATAATTGATTCTGAGCTCATTGTAGTGTCAACAGCAATAGATAGCACTGCACTAGATGATAACCTTGGGGCCATGAGAGCAATTCAAAATGCGCCGGGAGTTAAGGAGGTCGTCTACCGTTACGACGAGAATATCGAGGACGGGCCCCGAAAATCAAGTGCAGACAATTTGGACACTATGCGGAACAGCGCGCAATATTTGCATTTAAGGGGGTCTTTGCACGTGCCGGTGCTTCATTCCCATACAAAGAACATGCGAATCCCGGCCGTCAAAATGAAGTCTGCAGCCACTCGTGGTGCTCAAGGTGGGTTCAATGGAAGAGTCGGAGGGTGGTTGATTAGAAGAAAGAGGAAGACCAAGACCAAAAGGCCCAGAAAGACAACTAAATACCCCGCCAATACCTAAGACCATCATTGCACCTTCCAAGTTTGCACTTTCTGGGTCACTTTGTACATAGTATGTGTTTGCAGAAAAGGGGGGTTTGCATCTGCAGGGGACATCGCCATTTTGACAGGGGGAAGATGTCCACCATGCTCCCAAGAGGCTCGGCATTCATTCTGGCCCATTGAAGCACGCACGTGGCGACATAGTTTACATGGAAGGCGTGCTTCAGGGTTGACAATGGACGCTATAAAGCTCTTTTATCTTGTCGTCCCCCCCTCCAACACTTGACGACCGCATTTGCCTAACATTATCATCTTTTTGGGGTCCGTAACAGCTCGGAACGGTGGATGGTAGGAGGACGCTGACAACTGTTAAAGATCAGCTACTGTAACACCAAGTGTCAGAACTTACCTTATCGACGGGAGCTCAACAGGGGCCAATACGCACCGTTTATACAGCATATGGAGTGCGACCCCGCACCACTAAAACACAACACCACCACGAAAAGATCACCAAGCTTCGAGCGGGGACCTCAACCACTACCTCTACTTGCGGTACATTTAAACGGCGAGGGACGAAAGGGGAATCTCGTACGATAGCAATGTCACCTCAACCTCCAGTACCTATCAACTTCACTGGCCGTGCGAGAGCACTGGCATCGCGAAGCTGGAAGGTCTTCCGAGTCAACTGGCACTTGGGCTTCACGGCTTTTGGTGGGCCACCGGTCCACTTCAGGATAGTGAGTGCGGTCTGTACTGAATGAAACGGCCTGAACTGCAACAACCTAATTAGTCTGCTTAAAATTGGCCAACCTGCAAGATTACCTATGGGCTGACAAGGAGACAATAACAGTTCAATGACAAATTCGTGCAAAAGACCAAATGGATCGATGAGCAGGTGTACCAAGAGCTCTTCAGCGTCTCGCAGGCCCTCAGCGGACCAGGCAGCACCAAGATGTTGTACTGTATCAACTTGATACAAGACGGATTCCTTGCCGCCGTGTTCAGCTTCCTGCTGTGGAGGTAAGTCACAGCATCAAACATTTACCTTACACACGATCACCTACCTGCCGTGAACGACAGTCTAATAAGACGCAACCAGTTTACCGGGTGCCATCGGCATGTACGCGCTCGCTGTCGGCGTTTCAAAGATTGACGAAACCCTTCCGGGACCGGTGTATGCTCTACTATCGGGCCTTAACGCCGGTACTGTCGGCGTCATTGCCCTTGCTGCCGTCGAACTATCCGAAAAGGCCATCACGGACCGGCTAACGAGGATCCTGGTCTTCCTCGGCGCTACTGCCGGCATGCTATACAATGCCCTCTGGTACTTCCCGATCTTGATGCTAGCATCTGGCATCGCGACACTTGTACATGACTTGAGATGGATGCACCAACCGATTTCGGCCATCGTTGGTTTTGGTACGAATCTGAAGGTCAAGCTCATCAGGGCATGGCCTTTTGGAAAGTGGCCCGGATCAACTTCAGATGCGGATAACGATAACAATGCCGCGGGACAAGGGCGAAGGAACAGTGCAGATGACGAAGAAAACATCGAAATGTCGAGTGTGGCAAAGGCAACAGCGACGGCGTCAAGCAGCTCCGGTACCCGACCAAGAGCCGGACAACAGTCGCAGATGTCCGACCTTCCAGTCACCGAACAAGAAGCATCCATGTCGTCCTCCACAGCCGAAAGCGAGCCACGCATCATTCCAAGTGAGTTTCGACTCGACTTTTCCTGGAAAATTGGAACGGCAATCGTCGCTTGCTTCTTCGCCACCTTTGTTGCCGTCATGGTCACTCGCGGCGTCTTCCCGAATCCGCCTGGACTTCCCCTCCTGTACCACTTGTTCGTCAACATGTATCTTGCCGGAACAATCATCTTTGGCGGCGGCCCTGTCGTTATTCCTCTGTTGCGGGAATACGTTGTTGCCGAGGGCTGGGTGAATCCCCGCGACTTTCTCATCGGACTTGCTCTGATCCAGGCCTTCCCAGGGCCCAACTTCAACTTTGCCGTGTTCCTGGGGGCCTTGACCGCCATCGGCAGCGGTAATAACCCGGTAGCAGGTGCGGTCCTCGCCTGGGTGGGCATTTTCAGCCCGGGTTTGATCTTGGTCCATGGTACAATGGGGATTTGGAGTGCGGTGAGGAGCAAAAGATGGGTAAAGGCTGTGCTCAGGGGCGTGAATGCTAGCGCAGTCGGGCTGATCTATACCGCTGTTTACCGGATTTGGTGTGTTGGTTACATCGATGAGGGCTTTCAGTATGGTAAGAGCTTGGGCGCTGACCCGTGGTGGGTCGTGGTAACGGCGACGAGCTACGTCGGTGGGCGCTGGTTCAACCTCAAGGCACCTGTAGCAATTATTCTTGGTGCAATCATGGGGTTGATCAGGTACGGCGTTGTGTCCGCTTGAGCGATACTCTGATCCTTGAAATCTACGTATTAGCCTCAAGCCTGCAACAGCGAGCAATACAGCCGGGGATAATCGTGATGATCGGAGGGGCGCCGACGCGACACAAAACTCTAGAAATCTCCAACAGTCTCTTGCTAGGTCATCAGTCACTGGTGCTTTCGATGGCTTTGCGAGTTAGATAGAAAAGTCATCGCGCATAATATTAGAACTGTCAAAGCGAGGCCACACAGAACGTGGTCACTCGTAAGCTAACACATACACACTAGAGGTACGTATCAACCGCATCCCGTCACCCAACTGAAGCGTTGTTCAATCAGCGAGAACATAGCCCTCAGTTCCTACATCAGTTCTTTCGATCCGCTGCCGAATTTCATACCAGTCGACTCTCTCAAGTGTCCGCAAGTTCACGGGCTGCAACTTCAGCTTCCCCTCAGCAATCTTCTTCACCACCTTGTACCGCTCAGGATCTTGCTCCTCGATATTTTTCAGCCTTTCTGCGAGATCGGGAGGCCCATAAACTATCATGAAAACCATCACGCCGCAATTGACACAGTGCCGAAGACCGTGCGCCCGCTGGTTATATAAGTACTCGAAGGTCTCGGTGTATGCTTCATCGGAAAGGATTACATAGTCCCTCATGGGATACATCCCGACAAAGGCATCCTGAGGTTGAATGAGCGCAACAATTAGTAACTGTCGATGGCCGCATACAGATACAGGGTTCTTCTTACTCTCACACAGGAACTGCAATTGTCCTCTCTCACTGGCCATAACTCTTCCGGGTTTCGTCCGGTCCTCATCAGCTCGAACCGAACTGTTCCACAGTGGCACCTACCGTGGTACATGACATCTGGACTCCAAGGCAATAGTTCGCGAGGTACTTCGTCTTCGAGATTGGCTGTCTTGACAAGCGACCTGGAAGACTGGTTAGTGAATCCTGACGTTTGTTGACCGCCCAATATATGAAGTAGTGTCTTTCTTACTCAAGGAAGAAAATACTGACACCCTGAAAAGCCCGCACATTGACCAACAGTAGTCCCTTCAGAGGTCCATGCGAATGCATGCCCACCAATCCCGTGCCACAGTTGCTACAGAACTTCAAAATGTCCAGTGTCAGCAACGCGCACTATGGTATACTTCATGCATACCCCCTCTTGTGAATCATTGTGCACTCACCTGATCCGCTACCAAAGGACTTTCATACTTGATCAAAGGGCCATGATCTCGTGTCCATGTCAATTTGGCCTCGTCAGGCGTCGAAGGACAAGGAAGCCAAATGTAGCCCTTCATGGAACAGAGCGTGCAGGTGCATCTCACAGCTATGTCCACGAGCCTATAGCTTTTGAGGAGCGAATATTCAAAGCGATAGCGGCCGCAGTGACAGTTGCCCTTGAAGACTGCCCAATCGGTTGTGTGTGGGATCGTCTGCGTCAGCGATGCAGTTGGTGATGCAGAGTTCGGGGCCTGTGACACAGCGCTCGTGTCCGTCAACGGTGGAGTGGACATGGTGGAAAGATTGATGATGGGAAGAAGAATGACTGATAACGTCGAGTTCGAGTGGAAATGGTTATTATGAGTGGAGTTGAAAGTGTCTGTTGGTTCCAACTTGCATACTTAAGTAACACAAGCCCTGGAGACTAACACACCATGGCAGGCCAAAAAGGGAAGGTGAAACCATCCCACCACAAAGGCAGTGCCAGCCCATACCAACAATCGTTCCTTTCTCCCGAGCTTTACCCGGCCAGGCCATCTTTGCCAGCGACCCCCAGATTCTGAAGGAAGGCATCACTTACAGTGACTATCTACTGCTATCTCGTCTATCGATAGGTATTAACAGTGTCCACTTGTGAAGGAGCATGACCAAGACTCGTAGCAGATCTTACGACTGAGATACGCCATGGTTGGTTACATCGAGAAAGCTTGTCTCAAATTGGGCTGTCTTTGCTCGCTCAAGGTACCTTGCCGCCGCCAACTATAAACCTCCAACTCTTTCATCTCCTCACTCCCTTGCAACATCCACATCTTACAATAGTTGGTATGGTGGTCATCACCCACATACCCATCCGATATTGCTCTCTTACCAGAGCCACCCATCGCCGCTCGCAATGTCTTCTTCCAAGAAAAAATACAGTGCAGAATTGGAACTCCCGAGTGACATAACCATACCCCCATCTGCCCGCCATGACCTCCTCGAGCGGCATGGTAGAGTTGTGATCTGCATCCCGGTAGAGCATCCCCCAGTCTTCTTGGCGGGAAAGAAACTCAGAGACTAGGTCGGCATCGTGGCACTGGAAAGAGACCGGGTCTATGAGAATGGGGTCGAAGATGCAGTTGGATTGATAAGCGAAGGTGGGGGAGAGGCCGCAGTCTTCAAGGTCGATGGGTGGATGGCGAGAGGGAGAGGATCCGCCAGGTCACCCAGGTGAGAACTTGGATTCCCGGGAGATGGTTCGGCTGAGGGAGGCAATCATAAAAGGCAAGAGAGATGATTAAGCTTGAGCGATTGGCGTAGATTCATCGCCGAGTGGTGGTTCATCGTGCAGCAAGATCGAATATTGGTCGTCTTCAAACCGTCGCCGTCCAATCTTCAAGACATGATGGCAATTGTGTCCGTGAATTGTAACTTCCACTCCTTTGGACTCGAGAGCTTGCTTGGAAAGTGGAAAGGCCAAAGGGGAGACGGAATCGAGGTCTGCTGCCATCCCGTCGCTCTTGCCTTGCAGTGTGCTTCGTCGCCGACTCGCAAGACCAACAAGAATGACATTGTACAGGGGATGATGCGTCGCCTTGTATAGTAGGACATGCCGATGCCCGGCCACTGCACTTTTCTTTCCAAATCCTGAAACGAAATTTTCCCTTTCACGTGTTCGTAATTCATTACAGTTCCCATTACATCTCGAATCCTCCGCTCATTCATCGCGAGTTAGATCACCGTGTCACTCTTCAACCAGGATCGCCATGTCTGGAAGCCAAAAAAGCGTGTAAGACCATTGGCTGGCTGATCCCAGAACGTGAGTAATCGCCCTTGTCATTCAGTTCCGTTAGTGCATGGCCGTCGTCAGAGGCACTACGGTGCATCCTGCAGGGCACTCCACTAACGTGAGCAATCTGTACCACCTGAAGCTCACCAATCTACGTGGACTGCACCCTTTTGACAGCCGCACATTGGCAGGCAACCTAGGGAACCGAATGCTCCGGGGAACATTCGGCTGCCATGATCACAACACCGGCTCCCGTCTATGAGCCGACGTCTAACGGAGAGCTGACCGGCAAAATGTGCTTTATAGCATCACGGTCGTCCCCCCGCGCCCCGCGATTCGACAATTTCGCATGCGATCGAGTTCAGGCTGGATGACGGCGGAGAAAGAGGCGAATAGGTCCGGTCTCCCAGGCTGAACTCGTGGTCCTCGACAACTTCGTTTTCCGTCGCTTCCTGTCTCCTTCCATCGGGCTTCTAGACCCGAAAGGCCCGCCGCCCCTCAAACTTCTGAGTTCCAGCAGATACTCACCCAGCTCCGGGATACATACACGAGATGTGCTACACGTACGTGCCGACTTCCCAGCTGCGAGACACCAATATTCGCATAACGTACAACCCCCGCCGAGCGGTAGAGTCGACCGAGAAGCTGGACACTGAACAGCTCAACACCCCCAAGATCCAAAAAGATATTAAAGGTACTTGGCGAGAGCAGCCTCGATGACTCGGACTTGCAGTCATTCTCTTGTCAAGCTCACTGGTCCTGGTTACTCTTGGCTGGGTTGTTTGAGAGAATTGACATCTCGGACTATGAAGGTGAAGTCACAGTTCACTGATAACGTCCCATCGAAGCTACCAAGACATGGCTATAGTAAGAGCCAAACGCTGTGATCTTTCTGGTTTGCAAACTACGTCATGAAAAATCCGCCAGAAGTCTTCTCGTCAGCCATCAAAGCAACAGAGTAGGGAAAGGTTGTCTTCCACAACTACTTCGACAATGATATCCGCTGGCAGGGGCCGCCAAACTACGATGTTGACAAGGCTTGGGAAGATCTGTACATTGACATTGGGGTTGTCAAGATCTCCGAAGAGTATGCTAACAAATTGTCGAACCAGACTCTTCCGATTCCTGGATAAGAGGGGGGTACATCACCGAGCTGGAGGTTTATCATGAACTTCACAGCTCGGTATGTCATTTCTCCGTGATGTAGCTCCTCTGATGCGTTGATTGACGATCTCTTACCCGGACTAGGACCTAGTCCGGAAGCACTTCTATCCCGACGGCATCGGCGGTGATAGAGACATGACGGAGCAGCAGCGCAGGGAGTACTGAATTCGTTTTAGTGAGAACATGCAGTACCAATCCCAACAATATGACCGCTAAACTGAGATCATCAACCAACAGAACACTGCATCGATAACCTCCGCCAGACCACCATGTGCAAATCCAACATCAGTACCATCCCCTGGATATACATTGGACGAGTGCACGCAAACTTCCCCTCGGCCAAGACGACACACATCTGCCGCGACTTTGACAAGCTCACGAAGTAGATGCTGCATCCATATAGACATTTTCTTCAGGAGAAGTATCAGTTTCGACTCAAGGCGTTGTAGGCTGGTGCACTTGCTAAGAGCGGGAAGCATTTTTGATGTCCTGTCTGTTGATGATGCTAGGATGAAGTCGGATGATAGCTTGTGAGAAGATGAGAATGAATGGGCAGTTCCCAGCGAAGATCGATGCATCACCAAGTATGATGCATTAGAAACTTAGTTGACGTACCTTTGGCAAGTTTACAATACATCCGTCCACGTACAAAAGCCCTTGGAAATCCACCGAAAACGTGAAGCAAAATAATAGCAACAACCCTTCTGCCCTTCATACTACCATAACCGCCTACATCCAATCAGCCTCCACATAGCTATAGGAATATTCAAAATGTGTACCCACCATATTCTGCATCGGGTGTGTAGGACGTGCGAGAAGATAGTCTTCATCGCCACTAGAGAGGAGCCTTGCGAACTAGTCAAGAACGATTCTACCAAGTTCTGGGGCGACTGCGGAACTTCTGCCAACCAGGTGCAAACTAAGTTTGTACCCTTTTGTCCTTCGTGCACTTAAGAATTTCTTGCACCAGCTTAGAAAGGGAACGTGGCAGATCTCGGTTTGATCAAGCAAGGGTCCGGGATGTTGGAAATTGAAAACTACAAAGGTTCAGGGAAAAGTATCTGAAATAGCCAAAATATACATAGCCAAAATATACAAGACCTCACTGGCCATCCAGCAATGCAGAAAAAGGTCGCATTATTTCTGTGATGTGTAAGCCAGACTATGGGCATTACAAGAAGTACAGCAACATACAAGATCCGGCAGTGGAAAATAAAAAAATATGAAAGCGTTCGCAACTCAATGCCATTCATGTTATATCGTGTTCTGTATCCCGGGATTCTATCTGTCTCTGACGTAGGTCTCCGAAAAGGCTTCCTGCTACTTTACAGGTATGTCGTGCCCCGACCTAATCATTTTCAAGATGGTTTCCAACTAGTCATCGCCGTCCATATGTACAAAGAGGAAGGAAACAAATTGTTACATGGGGAAGTAGAGTAAAAGGAAAGACATATCAAAATCAATGCTTCACTCGGCATCGAGAGGAGCCTTGGGAGGGGTGTTGTTCACCTGGATACCACCGCGCTTCTTCTCGTCGCTGTCAGGCATGGGAAGAGCCCAGCCACCCTCGCTCTCGGGGGTAGCGAGCCAGAGGCGGAGGAGGTGACGACGGGGAGCAGGAGGGGCGAAGTCTGTTTTTTTGGACAGTGTTAGTCAGTATCGATCAGGGCCATCCACCTAAAAACTGTAAAAGACAAGAAAGAAGAGTACTCACCCTTATAGGCCGTACGAGCATGCAACAAATGTGCGTTGCTCAAGAACTGGATATCGCCAACCTCAAGAATCATATGCAGCGCCAGCCTCTGGCACGTCTCCTCAAGAATCTGCATTGCCCTCAACTGTTCCTCGCTCAATGCAGGAATCAACCCCTTGTCGCTGAAGCGAGTCAGAGACTTGACATAGTAAGGATCCCACTTGCAGTAAAGCCTCCCCTTGCCGCCGTTCTCCAGATACACAACCGGCTGACGGACCCACTCCTGCTGACCCTCCGACACCTCGCCCTTGCGGTCAAAGTACCAGATGGGCTTGGTGAGGAGTTCGGCCACGTCCGGGTGCTCCTGCTGCAACGTGTTCCAGACATGATGGACAGAGACAATGTCGCTCTCGCCGCCCTCCTGCGCACGGTGCACGCACAAGAGGCCGACGATGTCGCCGTCGTCGGCGTGGAAGAACTGTCGCGCGGTGGTGCGGTAGATGCGCACCGTGTGGATCTGGGTCGGGTCGTCGCCGACGTCTTTGACGTGGCCCAAGACGTGGCCGCGTCCGTTTTGCGAAAGGAAGTAGCCCAGGTAGGTGCCCAAGCCCATGTAGGCGACGGCGTTCTTCTCGGCACCCCAGACGTCGGCGGGGAACCGCTTGAACAAAATGAAGCCCTTGCCGTTGAGCAGGTCATCGCGGAAGTTGGTGAGAACTTTGCCGAGCTTGGGGAGAGGGAAGTTCTCCTGTGAGATGCCCGTGAGGGGAGTGCCGGAGGCAATAAAGGCGTCCGCGGTGTCGGAGAGTTCTTGCACTTCCTCATCGGTGAAGGGGTGGACCCAGCGCTCGGGGTTGTTGACAAAGTCCTCGCGCTTCCAGACGGTCGGGCCGGTGATCTCCTTGGGGAACTCGGAGTAGGGCTTAAGGACGTCGTAAAGGGGAGGGTGCTGGCCCGATGTACGGATACCGTCGGGGAAGATGTCGCGGGGGGCGTTTTGGTTGCGGTAGGCGTTCTTGTGCTTGAACACGGAGGGAGCAGCATCCGCGGTGGACTGGGCCTCCTCGACTAGAATTCCGGGAGCCATTGTGTCTGAGGGTATATGTGTGTGAGAATGGGAGATGTGGTTGAGTGAGTAAATGACTGATTCAAAAACAACAGGCCGGGAGGATTCAGATATCTTGAAGGTGTGAATGACGGACAGTTGCGAGTGCAAGGTGAATATAAAAAGAGGGGGTATAGCGAGGATATATTAAACTGTTAGGCCTGCTTCAAGACACGATAAGAACGTTGACATCCATCTGGACCACCATCATGTTTCACTTATAATAGTGATTGTGCTGCTTGCTGGTGTCGATTGCGTGATCATTAGCCGGCGAGGTTGTGACAAAACAGAACCGAGCATCCCATTCTCATGACACCTTCTGTACCTACCTAGGTTAAGCTACCCCGACCAAGTCGCCGGTTCTGTGGCAGCGACCCCAAGCCATTGCGATATCCCGAGAATCGATGGCGTGCTCAACTGATGAGACATGAAGCTTCAACCCCGCAATTCCCCCAAACATTTCGGGACCGTGATTGCCTTGTTCGTCATGAGGTTTCACTGAAAGAAGAAAGGAAATGCAGCTTCCAGACTGCAATCAGATGCCATTTCTTCGTCCGTCGCATTTCCACCCCCCACGGTAGAGGGATAACGAGTTGTTGTTTGGCAGACAAGGGTTAGGGTTCAGCATGTGCCTTGGCGGGCATTGCGCCATCGACCCGATCTACAACCATGTCGTGTACTGGTTCCCTCGTAGGCGATGCCTTTTCCAGTCGGCCGTTGTTGCAGATTGGCCAACGGGATCACAGCCGAGGCGCGAAGTTTCCGAGCTTGGGCGTCTCGGATGCTCACCAATGCAGGACGGTCATGCTCTTGCCCACCGTCGTACTAGAAATCTATGTGATTTTGATGGGGACGAGAGTCAGAGAGGTGACTTATTGAAGATCCGCCTTGAGCACGTCATGTTGACAGTCTCCAAAACCGCTTTCCTACGGCTATCATTGTCTACAAGTAATAGCACTAGGTACTGTGATTACAGTTGTGGTCACGGAGAATCACTTCGAATGCTTGTGCCATCAGATAAGATCTTTGCAACCTACTACATACCGAAGCACATTTTCCCTATCAATCCCCCTTGTATCCCTTCTTTTGTTCTCCCATACATGCAGATACTTGTCTCTGTTTCCATTCCGACTGTTCAACTATCTCAGCAGGCGTTACTTATCAACCCTTCTTCCTAACTAGAATTTTCTGAGTTCTGAAGTAAACTTCAACGGCGATGATAACCCATCCCTTTCAGAATGAGCACTCGTTACCAAATTCTGCTTGCTCACGCTTGCAGCTTTCCATGAGCCTCTGCACTTCCTCCGCGTGCTCCGGGGATAATGAGAGTTCCAGAGCGCGCAATTTCAACCTTTCGAGAAGGGTCGGATCAGATGTGACAAACTCGGGCGTTTCACCGGTCGGATAGATGACTGCACCATCATCCGGGTAGTACAATCCCTCTCCATGCTCGTCGCCCAAGCATCTCACAATCTCCGGATGGCTTGGCTGTCGGAAGTCAATTCCCTTTCCTTCCTGGACAAGGTTCTCCCAACATCTCTCGAATTCGTCGCCATACGCGATGTGCCCGTCGACGCCCTGAACTCGATGAAGCCCTCGGACATCCTCAGTCGTGACTAGAAAGTTGAAGTACGCCTGATATGGTATGCGACCAAAGCGCGTAGGTTCCAGATTTGCCCATTGAGCTTCTGGTGTCGTGTTGTCGTTGACGAATCCTAGAAGGCCTTCAGGAGTGATGAATTCAAAGACTCTTGTCCAACGGCCCCCGAGAGATCTATATGGTCCATCTCTAGTTCTCCTAATATCCTGGATCATCCACCTGACCGAGGTCACTTCGAACTTGTTGAGTTGCAAGCCCAGTGTGGCTAGACGCTTCACCGTGTCGAACTCCAGGCGACAGTCCGATAACTTGAGAACACGAAGAGTGTCGGCATGACGCGCGATGAATTTCTCAAGACTCGCCTGGCTGTACATGATGCTTTCAAGACTCAAAGAGTTGACATGGGGTAGATAGATTTCACCGCTGTTGGGACCAGCCTCTTGTCCAACCAGCAGATCGAAGAAGTAATGGTCACCGGCCTTCTTGGCGCAGGACGATGCGGCTGGAAACCTTTGGTATGCTGTGAGTCGCAGGGTGCGCAAGTTCCGAGCATTTGCGAGACAAGCTAGCAGTTTGTACTGCATCTCGAGGTGACGTTGACGACGCCCCAGCTCCCCACCGGGAGGACAGTCAACCATTCCAATGCTGAATGTAAATTCGACTAGAGCTTCGGATATTGGCGGTACATGCGTTAGTTGGAGGGGGATTTGTGGAACCTTATGCTCGAAGTAAGTAGTGTTGGGCCAGTGCAGCTGAAGCCACCTGTTGCCTACCGCGTTCCTCTGTGCCAGAGCTGGAAGAACGTAGAGCTCGGTCCCTTTCAAGAAGACATCGCTTGCTCGAGAATCTTCCCTAGGTACGATTGGTGGCGGCCGACTGGCACACTTCCAGCGCTGGCTCTGCAGATCTCTGGAACGGGCCATAGTAATCTCTCTGCCACAGCGGAGATGGAATGGCTCAAAGTCCATGGAAGTGGAGGTAAAAGTACGGAGTTTTGGCATCCGCGCAATAGCCTCGAGGAAAACGGGCAAAAGTCCGTCGTGTACACTGTACGGCCGCTCCTCGCCATTTCCACTGGGAACATCCAAAGGCGAGTATGAGTGCCAGAACAGACTGTTCTCGCGTGAAATCGTCTGATCCCAGGGTGGTACCAAAATAGGTGGGAAGGGCCACTGTTGAAGTCTGTTCGCCTCAACAATGGGACAGTCCAACTCGAGCCAGATTAGCTCCTGGACATGTCGACTTAGCCTAGGGCTATAGGCAACGCGCAGAAATGTTGCAAGATCATTACCGACAGGAGAGACCGCCACTTGGCGAAAGAGGTATTGAGAAGCGACAGCCTCGAACGACCGGCATGTCTGACGGAGAGAGAGGTAGTCAGCCTGATGAGTGACTTGACCAAAGATCAGAAGTAAAAGATGCTCGTCGCGAAGCAGAGCTTGACACATGATGATTGTGGTTCAAAGGATATCGCTGTCGAGAAGGAGCGCGTAAGGAATGGCGATGCGTGATTCGACCAAGGACCAAAAGCAGGAGATCGTTATTGAGGAGTTCGTTTCCGAAAAGGGCGTGAGATATGGTAGTTGTGATTTGACCGAATTCTGATGTGAAAGGTTACTTGGCTAGCGATTGGAAGGAGAAGCGAGTTGTTGAGAAGCGAGGCTCTGATTTGCGTGGTAGCTTGACCAAATATTCAAGAGGAAAGACTATTGTCGAGAAGGAAGGCCTTGGAGATGGTGCTTGTTGTTTGACTGCTTTCTGATGTACAAGTGAATGGGAGCGCGTCGACTAGGTGCGCTAGTTTCCGCGCTACGAAGGTTTTTCTTCCGAGTGTTAAGTGAATAGCAGTAACCAGTGAAGTGCGCGTGTGAGAGGCCGCCTCATTATAAATGCTCACATGTGCAGTAACCATTCAATTAGTTTAATTAGACATTAGTTGAAATGAAGAAGCATTACGAGTCCTCCAGCAGTGTTTGTAGGTATACCGAGCCGCTTCCGTGACGCAGGACCTGTGAATCTAGTGGCGTGGCACGCGCGAAGGTGTGAAGGGTTCCAGGTCACGGAATAAGGCGCTTGAATGGATGTGCCTCTGTGTTGAGGACGAATTTATCGAGGTTGATGAGATCCGGCTCGCTGAACATGAGATAGAAGTACTTGAGTGTCTCTCCCAGCCAGAAGCTCTCCATGGAATGGATCATGGGTGGTTTCCCCCCCTTTACGGTAACGTCGAGCAGCGCCGAGTTGGCCAGTTCGGTCCTGGTGTTGGAGTCAATGGCCTGGAACATGGCCCAGGCTGAGTCTGGAAGGTCACGGCGACCCGTCATGCGGTAAAGGAGAAAGACGCTCTCGATGGCCTCGGGGCGAAGGATATAGCGCGCGTCTGGAATCGAGACAAAACCTTGAGGTAGCCTTTTGTGGTTGATGATTCTGTTCGCTTTATGCAAATCATTTTCTTTATTCTCGGACAGCCCCCAGCCAGCCGCTTCAACGACGGCCAACTTCCATTTTTCCTCATCCCATGGACAGTGATCGGTCGAGTCACAGGGTAGTACGTGGAAGACCTCGGGCATTATACCCAAGGGCATGGATTTGTACGCCCACACGCACCCGTCCATGAGCTGCTCTCCCTTGTGGATATGGGTGTCATTCTGAACGAGTTTGCCTCCGAGAGCAAGCATTCCGCCGGTAAAACAAGCGAGATGTTGGCCTTCTGGACGCATCTGTGTCACTCTCTTTCCATTCTCTGACCCGACCAGGACCATGCCCGTCATTAGAATGTCTTTCTGATCAGGCACCATAGGACGGAAGAGGTTGTAGCGAATGGCTGTATCCATAGCTGCATTGTACATGTCGGCGTACATTGGAAGCAAGCCGCCGACAAGGGCATGAGTCTTGGGGAGGTATTCGTAGAGCGAGTCGGCCATTGCACCTAGCGTGTAATGGTTGTGTCTGCCAAAGTCCATCCGTCTTGCATCGACTACGACAGGCCACATGCCGGGAAGACGTGTTTTTTGCTGTTGTTTCTGGAGAGCCTCCATGATATTTTGCACAGCATCAAACCACTTGGGATCACCCGTCAACATAGAGAGACGAATGAACTCGAGAGAGAAGGACCCAATCTCGGCAAGGAGGACAGCATCATGGGCGACTTGTCGCTCTCCACGGGAAGCGTCATGGAAATTCCATCTCGTCTGGGGCATCCTGTTGGGAGTGTCGAAGGCCAGGTACAAGACCTCACCCACCTCCTTGGCCTTTTGCAGCAACCTCTTGTCTTCGCTGAGGTCGTATGCGGCGAGGAAGCCGCCTAGGTACCGGATATTTGTCTCGAAGACGTTGATTTCGGCTCGCGAGGTGGTCTCGAAGCTGATGTTGGCTGCCGCAGCAACGGCCTCGTAGAACTGATCCTTCAAACCCATGATCCATAGCGTGTCAAGGCTATCAACTAGTGTTGCTCCCCATCCTCCAAAGGTATCCTTTCGGCCGCCGTTAACTGGCTCCAGCTCGTCACTCATCCATGCCTTGGTGCGATACGAGCTCCAGCAGCGAAGAAAGGCATCTTTGACGGCAGCTTGTCTCTCGAGGCGTACCTTTCGGTCATTGTCAGACTCCGGGCCGAAGGTGGTCTGTACTGTGGGCAGTCTCGAAGGGGGCCCTGTCGGCAGCTGTCTCATCTTGGTGACGGGGTGCTGGGGAGGTTTCTGCAGCCTATCACGTATAGATACCGGGGGTGATCCCCAGTCCGAGTCCGGCCCTGCATCAGCGGAGGAGGAAGAGGAGGAGGAGAAGTTGAGCCTGGCCAACTCGAGGTTGCGGTGCGAAGTAAAAAGCATGAAGCAAGTGACACAAGCAATGAGCAGTGCCGCTCCCCACCGCCGAGCAAGGGGCGGCATTGTGGAAGCTGAAAATGGAACTTTGGAACTCAACGAAGGCGTGATAGTCGAAAATCCGCGGGGTTGGAGGAGCCAAAAGTTGACATATGTATTCTAAGAATATGAACACCAAAGTTGTTGCACCAAAGGAAGTTGTCACCGTCTGCGTATTTGTTTCAGGAGACTTTTGCCGTTCACGATTTCTGTAACATACAGCAGCTGGTGGGTATCGCTTGGCTATTTTACATACCAGCTGTCACACTTCTCATGCAAGTTGTGAGTAGACTGTAATGTAACTACCGTAAAGATACGTATTCTGGCTGCTGGTAACAACCACTAATTGTGGGGATGTTCAGGGACCGACCGCCCGTGTCTTGGGCAGCCAAGCTGGAATAACGGCCCGAGATCTTAGCGTTGTCCCCGCCAGCGTAGCGCGCCCCGCCATTACCGTAACATTACCCCCTCTTACTGTGTGGAGCTTCACTGCACACTTCAAGTTGTTTGAAGAGCAGCCCGCTTCTTCCATTGCCAAACAACACAACAACTCGCGAGGGCAATCCGCGATCGAGGACACTCGCCAAAACCCGGAATTCCATACTCAAGTACCTCTATCGATTTTGACTGGATACTATTGCAAGATGCTGACTGCCTGGTACCCCTCGATCACTTCGACAACTCGACCATCGTTGTGCGGAACCTATGAAGTATGTTCATGCTTTAAGTAGCTGAGATGCTAAAGTACCACCGCATCACCACGGCATTGGTCGAGAACAAGTTCAGCCCTACAGTCAACCTGTGTCTTGAATCCGCATACAAGAGCTGACCGAGACCCCGACTTATCTATGCGAGAGCAGCCTTCTTTTCTGGTACTCTACCTAGCAGCACTCATACGACAGATTACACCGGGGAATACGGACATTTCTATTCGATTCAAGGCATCTCAGATGCCTATCTTGGCAGGGCTTATGATTTGCGAGGGCAGGCCTCTCACTTCGTCAACTGTTGGGGCTTCACCTATGACCGCCACACTCTTTTACCTTACGTCGACCTAGAGCGGTATCCCAACCCGACTGCCACATTGGTCCCAGGACAACCAGACGGACTGGACACATGAAGCATCGCAAACGGGAATGGTTTATAGCCATGCCTTTGTAGTGATCTGTGGTCCTTCGTCTCCGAACCCTCAGAAACCCTTCCTAGACCCTAGTGAGCCAGAGTGGCTGCCAAAGCGATTCAACGTTCCCTGGTGCAATCGTTTTTGAGTGCAAGACGCATCGCTGCAGGCTCAAAAACAAAACGAAGTATCTGGCTGGTTTATGACAAGAATGCTTTCTACTCGACATGCTTTAGCAAGTCATGCCGGGAGCCACGCACAAGGCACTCACTTACTCAGACGAACCTGGCCAAGTTATTCCCTCTTGGTTGAACCCCCTTTTCCGAGTTTGAGCCAATGTTCCTAGAGCATTAAAAGCTGGATGGCTGAAGGGGCGTGAAAAATATGGAGACGAATAATGATAATGAGTCGAAACACCCAAGTCGCTGGGCTCCAAACCTGTTGTAAACCTTAGAGTGTCTTACGTGGATGGTTATGGGAAACGAGATGGACGGAAACTGAGGAACATTCAACTGTCCAAACTGTTCGGGACCAACCAAGCAACATGAAATACTAGATTTTGGGATCAGGTGCACACAGTTGATGAATCCCTCCCTGATGAACCTCAAGTCTTGATACGCGGTCGCATTGACCCCGAAAATCGCCGGCGATCAATGCACTACCCAATGCAACGGAAGCTACCGAACGCTAATACATGCTATACATAGTAAAGTTGCCGGATCTTCGGGGCCGGGATTGTCCACATCCCGGCGCAATCCACATGCGATGAACCTGACAGATTAGCATAGCCGAGATCGCGCGACCATTTCATACGAACAACGTCATACATATGCGATGACGCACATGACACAATCATGGCTCATGGTTTTGAGATGACTTCGACTCACAATGAACGTGAACTCGAGAGGACTGATTGCCTGTGCTTCAACATAGACGCGATTGACATTATTGCTTTCACCTTCATCCGCAATTCTTCCTGGTGAATTACACATTGTCTCGATAACTCCAATCGCGCATCACGACCGCAAGGAAAACCATCAAGGAGTCCGAACCACACCAATCACTACCTCAAACCACCACACTCGACCACCACACCCCACACCCCAAAGCCCTCCACCACCTACCTCTACGCAATCACCATAATCATGTCTTCCCAAGATAAGAAACCCCTCCGCCAAGTCGCCGCCGAGAAGGTCAACGGCCCCAATGCCAATCCCTCCCAACTAGGCGATCCCATTTCCCTCAAGGCCGAGACCAATCAGAATCCTCCCGACAATGTTGAATATGCCCCGGAAGGAGCTGAGGTCTCCCCTTCTTCTTCTTCTTCCCGTTCCCCTTCCAACAAATCACTCTCCGCGTCGCATGCGAATCGAACAAAGGCGTACGGTGTTCCGAGGAATGATCCCACGGATGCCAGTCCAGGCGGGGCAAGGACCGCTTCAGGAAAGAGAATTCCTTTAGAGGGAGACCCGACGAGTTTAGAGCGGGAGCAGGTGGTTGATGATACGAAGGGGAAGGGAAAGGGGAGAAGGGGAAGTAAACTTTGAGTGAGCATTGAGCGGGGATGGCGAGGGGTGATGAGGATATGAAATGCAGTGGCGATGGTTAGGTGGTGTGATGCGGATAGGACGCAGTGAACACAGAGAGCGAGCATTGCTGCTTAGGGAATTGAGACAACGCATGCAATTGCAAATTACTGTAGAAGCTGATAAAGAAACCATCTGGACAATTTAAACATCAAATCATCAAGCCCGCATGGCTCAGTGGTAGAGCGCATCACTAGTAATGATGAGGTCGTCAGTTCGATTCTGGCTGTGGGCAATTCGCCTTTCTTTTTTCACTTTTTAGGCATTTGTTGTTCTTAGCGTAGTTGCTGATTCTTGTCATCTTTTTTCTTTTCCTTTTACTTATTACTGTTTTCAGCTATGTTTGTTCTGATGTTGTCATTTATCACTCGGGTTCCTTTTTTCCTAGGTGTGCATGGATCCGTATATCGGGCAAGGTGAATCGCAAATGGGTTTCGCATCAACAGTCTCTTCATCTTCTTAATCATTGCTGAACAGGTCAGTATTTACTAGCAGTCAAGAAGAGCAACCAAGGAACTTAAACCGCACATTTTGGCTCAATTATCGCCAGCCCATTGTCAACCAGCTATTGCAGCCTGGTTTTCACTGCTACTCGAGGATCGTGGGTGGAATGAAAGGGAGTGGGTTGGTTGATCAGGCTAACTAACGGTTCCTCACCATGACCACTGGTTAAATACTGCAACAAAGCCCACCAAAATCCACAGCCCCATTGCATCTTCTACTATCCGACTGTTGTTGATATCTCCTAACTCCCTTCGGACTTAAAGCATGTCTTGATCGCGAAATCTCCGGGATCTTAGTTGTTCGTGTAAGCACAGAGTGACATTTCGGAACCGAAAAGGCTAACGGATCCACCAAACCTGACGGAACCGTAAGTCAACACACCGAATAGCCTCTTAAATAACGGCCGACAGATGGTAGCTTGACCTTGATGAAGAGGAAGAAGCATATGGTGTCTTGTATAAGAGACTTAGGAATCCCGCGTTTATGACCTTGAGTTAAAAAGCAAGTTCAAATCAGTCACCTCTCAATAAAGATTGTACTCAACTTACCTTGACCCCAACCCCTGAAAATCTCCCCATCCCACATCATACTTACTAGCCCCTCTACATCACCGAAAAACACACCATCAGCCATGTCCTCCTCCTCTTCCTCCGCACAGCCTGAACTGCCCTCCGGTATCAGCCGCTGCTGCGTCACCGGCTTCGGCTGGTCCGGCACGCCCACAGGTACTGCCCTCTCTGCAGGTTCCATCCCAGGCACCACCAACGCCGTCTACAAAACGGGCACGAACCCGCGCGTCGCCATCCTGATCATCCACGACATCTTCGGCTGGACCTTCCCCAACGTCCGCCTGCTGGCCGACCACTACGCCGCCGAAGCGAACGCCACCGTCTTCGTCCCGGACTTCTTTGGCGGTTTCGTCTGTCCGCCCGAGCTAGTGCTGGAAGAGCGCTGGGCGGAGATCGACATCGCGCGCTTCATGAAAGAGAATGCGCGCGAGGTGCGCGAGCCCGAGATCTTTGCATTTGCGAAGGCGTTGAAGAGTGCGGAAGGGGGCGGATTTGAGATGGTCGGGGCTGTGGGGTACTGTTATGGTGGGTGGGCGATTTTCAGGTTGGCTGCTGCTGAGCATGAGGAGGGTTCCGGGGATTCTGAGGGGAACGGCAAGAAGTTGGTGGACGCGGTAACGACTGGTCATCCTACCTTTGTGACGAAGGAGGACATTGAGAGGGTTTCAAAGAACGTGCCGGTGCAGGTGTTGGCTCCGGAGTTTGATCCAAGGTATACGGAGGAGTTGAAGACGCACACGTTTGTGACGCTGCAGAAGCTGGGAGTGCCGTTTGAGTATTCGCATTTTCCGGGGGTACATCATGGTTGTTTCATCAGGGGCGACGAGAGGAAGGAGGGCGAGAAGGAGGCAATGGTTAGGGGGAAGAATGCAGCGGTTGCGTGGATGAAGCAGTGGTTGCATGGTAACTGAGTCTTCAACGAGGCTGGATAGTATGGGGAAGATTTGAATGGGAATAGTGTCGGCTGTAAGCATTCTCAAGCCTCAAGCCTCAAGCTGAGTTGTTAAGATCTGGATTCGGACATTGCCGTCGTTTCTTGGATCCAGTTGTGGTGGGACGAGCGGCGTTTGTTTGTGAGTGTTGTTGCCGAGTCTTTTCTTCTGGCTTTCAATCTCGTCGATGAGCAACACTATTTAGTCATCCATGTGTGATACGACACATTAATTCCGACGCTTATCACCACGGAGTAATTGGCGATGACGAGGGTGAGTAACTGGCCCTGTGAAAGCGAGTAATAAGTGAGCGTCGGCTGGAATTCAGCAGACTGGAACAATGTCGCCCACTTTCTATTTTCAACCACCAGCATCTTCGCTGGAAGTCGAATCGCCCAAGTCCTGCCAGGACATTACCCGGTCAGGAAGTTTAGCAATAGATTGAGCGGTTAATCTCATGGTGGCGATGGTCCGCTCAGGTGCGAACCTACCAAAATGTGAAAGAAAAAAAAAAAAAAAAAAAAACAAAGAAAGAAGGGATGTGCACAATCGAACCCATGCGTGATATGTGTAAACAATGGCGAGTGTCTTTTGGAGCCAAAACCGGGATAGAGTCCTCTCAACACGGGGGCAATAAGTCGATGCATCGCGGAATGGTTGGTCTAGCGCAGACAGACCGTCCAGGTTGAACCAACAACAGCATCTCGAAATCCAGCGTACAGAATGACGGGCCGATTGACTGATCTCAGGGCATATCATACGTGCTATACTTCCCGCCTGATCGGTGACATTAATCTCGGAGTCAATCAAGACTTAAAACCGGGTAAGAGGATGTTGATATCTCCCGGCTTCGGGTTGCATTCTCCAATCGGAGCATATTCATCACTCGATGACAACTGAACTTCCCCTTCGCTCGATACGGGGGTTATCTTCTTGATTTGAGCGGAAGAATTGTCGAGAACAAGGTTGAGCAGAGCGCCTAGAAGTCAGAGTAAATTGCACAGAAATTATGTTAACAGCCGGCAGTTGATGCCAAAACGCCGCCCCTCTTCAACGATGCATCATTGCCATCACCCGTAGTAACGTAGCCGCCTTGAACGGGCTTGGCAATTATAGCAGAACAACAACGGGGCGTGAGGATGTGAAAGATCGTCGTCTTATCTGCTAGAATCCATTTTAGTGACCCGGCACATGGTACGGATGCGGCTCGTAAGGAGTTAATGACAAGAACCGTAGGAAGAAAAATGGAAACGAATAAGCCCGGCTGGATCTCGTAGGATAAAGTATCATGCTTCCCTTTGAATCATGGGCGTCACCCGGCTTTCCTGCTGTGTTCTCCTTACACATGAATTTTCGAGTGTCTGCTGGCCATCATCTTCCGTCCCAGGAGACACCCCACGCCAGAGCAGGTCCTTTCAACAGACAGTCCTCTCTTCAGCACCACATAAGCAACGCCTTGGTTGATTCAGTTGAAAGGGGAGACAAGATGCACTGGAGTTTACTTACCGCGCTCGCGCTTGTGGCGCCTTCGACGGCGTTGATACGGTTCGGCTGCTCGCAGCTTACTGTCCAGCGGGTAGATCCGCTCGTCAACCCCGGAATCTCTCCCTCTCCACATCTTCACCAGATCATCGGTGGCGTAAGGCTTCTTCCCCTTTTCCTTGACGACACTTGGTCCGGTGACTAACATTCCATCAAGAATGCCTTCAACATCTCCATGGATCCACGAGAAGATATCGGAGAGAAAGCCACATGCACAACCTGCCAGTTTTCTGAGGACTTCTCCAACTACTGGACTGCTGTGCTCTTCTTTCGTGCCCGCAACGGCTCGTATCACCGGGTCCCACAGGTCCCCAACATCGGATTTGAAGGCTCCAATGGGGGCATGACCGTATACTACATGCAGGACGGGCTGGCCAACTACCAGCAGACGTCCAAGGTAACGGCCTTCAAGCAAGGATTTCGCATGCTCATCGGCGAAGCTTCGTACCGGAGTAAGCAGCAAGCCACCCGGTTCCGGCAGATCACGTATACATGTCTTCAGGACCTTGGCACCCGGTTCCCAGAGTCCATGAACTTCCCAACCAAGCCGTGCCCGGCCGGGATCATGGCTAATGTGAGGTTCCCAACCTGCTGGGATGGTAAGAACCTCGATGCGCCGGATCACATGAGTCACATGGCGTATCCGGAGTCCGGAACTTTTGAGAGCGGTGGACCTTGCCCGGCTAGTCATCCAGTGCGGGTGCCCCAGTTGATGTACGAGACCATCTGGGACACAAGCAAATTCAACGAAAAGGAGCTTTGGCCTGAGGATGGAAGCCAACCATTTGTTTGGTCTATGGGCGATCAGTATGCTACCATCTTGAGATAAGAATTGGGAAAAGAAGTTATTACTAAAGATGACAAACAGTACCGGCTTTGGATCCCATGGCGACTATATCTTTGGTTGGAAGGGCGACTCTCTGCAGGGGGCCATGGACTCGGCGTGCTATGTTAATTGCCCGACCCTGAAGACGCAGAGCGTGTCGGCGATGAACAAATGCAAGTACAACGAGGTACTCGTGGATGAGCCAATCGACGGATGTAAGTCTGCGATCAAAGATCTTCTGGTTGTTAAGGAGTGATCCCGCTGATATGACTGACCTACCTCAGGGCTCGATTCCATTCCGGGAAACCCGATGGAGGAGATGGGAAAAAAGTAAACAGAGGCAACAAGAGAAACGATGAAGAGAGTAGTAAAGCCAGACTCGGTAGACCAGGGGAGAGTTGGTTGACGTGATGTCGATGCTCATGACGATAAGATTGATGCGGTTGTGTTGCTGTAACATAAGAGGTCATGGATGAGATGTATGATGCACTTTTTGTTGGTCATTGTATATGGTCAATGGCGATCATGTTGAGGAGTGATTCTGCCATGTCTGCATTGACAGTCGCGCGATCCGGACAACAAAGTGAATTCGGGATAGATGACATCGGATGGGTCGCAGTGCCGAGCTAGCTGTCAGGTACGGATTTGGGGCATCGTCGACAAAGGGGAATCCAAAAAGACCGACATACGGTCTAAAGTGTAGACGGTTCTGTCGTCATTGTCTCTTGCTCACCTCCATTTTCGCGACCGTCTTCCCGTTGTCTCTCCACGTCGTACTTGGTGTGTAGGTCTGTGTATCATGGCGGCCGGTATCGTGGCTGGCCAGTCCACCAGCCGCGGCCAGCAGGGTCGTACACGCGAGAAAGGCGTCCATGCATTCTATTCAGGTTCCACGATGCTTCGATGCTTGATGTGGCACTGCCGCCCTGGATCGTCGGCTGCTGCACGTAATGGTCTGAGCACGGAATGGATGAGTGGCAGGTCGTTTATCCCGGAAGGCCGACGGGAGGTTCGGGAACGGCCCAATGGCTGCTGCCGAGTGGTTGGATACACAAGGTAGAGGTCAGTACGGTTACCTCCGAAAAGAATGGACAAAAATAGATGGGACTGGTGATGGCAATGGTAATGGCTCCGGATCTTTGCATGGACACTTGGCGAAGCCGACGGATAGACCGGCAGCTCAGCCGTCTATCATGACGGCGGATGGAGGTTGTGGTTGAAGAAATGGAAAGCCCTGCCTGGCACGGGGTGGCAGCGACGTAAGTACGCGTAGATCTTCTTGAACTGGGCAGCCTACAGAATATCATTATTAGTAGTGGATAGTCAGGAGAGAATCTATCCATTTTCTGTAGAACAACTGCTTGTTACCCCGCCTACCCCTAAGTAGAGCAACCGCTAAAAATGCAAAGGCTATGGCGTAAGAAACTCCGGCACCGTCTGTGTCTTGCAGGTCTCACATGGCCTACAAATCTTAATTTGACAAAACATCAGACAACACAACCATGAACCAGAATGAGTAAAAGATCGAGGCTGCGAAGGTGACATCGCACCTTCATTCATGCAGAATAAACAAGCTGCATCATTCGCATTAACCTGACGAGCCTGGGAATACGAGCCCCCAAGAGGGCATAACTTGACCACTAAAGGGGCGGGAAGGTACGTATCGTTCTATATTCCGGAATCTCGATACCCATCCTAGGGTAAAAAGGGAGACTGGATAGACACCGCATCTTTTTGGTGGCAGCTGCGTCACCATCCCTTCACCTTCTTATGCTTGGACACAGCATGAACAACAACACCGTTAGGTAGCGATACTTTTGCTTGTACAAGCTCAACCCATGGTATACTATGCATAGCATGGTTACCGAATCTACCTCTACACCGACATCTGGCACGCACATGAGGAGGGGTCTCGGAGATCTGCAGCCCTAAGTACCGTCGGGGATCGTGGGATCGGACGATGGGACTTGGCCACCACCACAAAAGAAGTGTAAGGAAACCACAAACGGCAGCACCGACGGCCGACCGCCTTTCCGGGTCTTTTCACTTCGTTTAACTCGTCCCCTAACGTTGCAGCTGCATATTGGAACACGAGACGCAAGACGGCTTGGGTTCAGCTATCAAGAGGTATCATTTGTTGACCATTGGCAAAACTGGTGATAGTATTTCAAATTGATGTTGCTCCAGCCTATACTAACTACACTACACCTCTGCAAGCATCAAATTTGTTAGCGCGGTGATTTGCAAAGTGGCAAGAGCTCCACTTTTTGTACAGAAGATGACTGGGTTGACCACTTCTAAACCCTTGAATACTGTAAGGTGGCGGTACCGCGCTAACAGGTTTAATGCCGGCAGAGGTGTCACTGGCTGCTACAACAAGAAGCTATAAAGCGGCAGCTAAGGAACCTTACGACTCACTTCATGGACTAGCATGACTGAATAAGAAATAACGATCTGCGCCACAAGAACCTTGATCTCAGACTCCCTCTTCTCCCAGCCTTCTAAAAGAGATAAACATTCAGGACCCCTATTATCAATCTTTTTGATACTGATACATCCTCAATCTCATCTCAACGGGAACCACCACGGTCACATCCACCACCATCACCATCAACCTCCACCTCACCATCAAACTCGGCTTCACCACCCAACACCAACTACTAAAAGATGCTCACAACAACACTCACCACCGCCCTTGCGGCCCTCCTCCTCCCGTTCTCCTCAGCTTCCCCCATCGCCGTCCGCCAGGATAATACAACTACCACAACTCCACCAACAAACCAAACCTCCTGCGGCGCCACCTCCTTCGGGAACTTCTCCTGGGCCCTCTCCGCCTTTGACTACCACGCCTCCTATATCTACACCAACCCCGCCCACCAAAACTCCTGGGGCTACGTCAACTTCAATTTGACCAACCCAGCCATCGGGCCCTCGGTCACCACCGTCTGCAGCGCTTCAAGCAACCAGCTCAACGATTTCTTCTACGGGACCGTACAGTACACGTGCATCAACACGCCGGCGGGCGTCAAGAGTGACGTGGGCAAGACGAAGTTTGATTTCAACCGGCCGACGGGGGAGTTGAGGTTCAACCAGAGCTGGACTTGCCGGGATGGGGATCCCAAATATCCGTAAGTACCTCTAATTATCGCTTGTGCACATCTTGCACTAGACCACCTTAAATGAAATTGGGTCAAGGTGACTAACAGGATGATGACTATGTAGTACTACGTTCACTGGATATGCGGCTGTCAAACTCCATTTGAACTGCACCGAGGCGAGGTGGCAGAACCGTAGCTGGAAGCAGGGCCAGATTTACTCGACGAGGGATGTGAGGTGCTCGCCTGTCAATTTGAGTGTTGACCCCAAGGAGATGACTGCTATGGCCTAGTCATCTGTCGGACCAAAGGCAGATGTGTGGTTTCGGTATTTTCTGTGAGTGTACCGGTTGTGAGAGTGGCCGGTGGATGTGATGAACGGGCGTCTTTTACAGCATGCATATGGTTTATGACAGGTTATGAGAATCATAAGATGGCGGGATTATAGGTAGAATACATAGAGGTAGTGCTTAATGGTAACGCTAGGGAGGAGGCATTCAAAATTTTCATTTCATCACGCAAATCTGATCTCTATTATTTTCCAACCCCTTAGTAACCTTGTGTATTCCGGTACCCGAAGATAACGCAGATTGGTCCCCAGCGTAGAAAGACGCAACCGCTCTTCATGTCTCTCATCCATGGACTCAAAATCGCGCTGAATTGAGGTTGAGATTTTCTCCATGGTGACCGTGGATGCGGAAACTCGCAAGACCCATTTCTTTGCCCTTTTTGAGGCCCACGAGGTTGACTCGATTGCATAATCGTTTCGATGATCTTTCTGTGCCGCATCGTGGAGCTGTTGATCTCGTGGCGTTTCTCGTCCAGGAAATTTCGGCTCTCCTATTTTCGTCATCTTTTCAATTTCCCGTCTTAACAATGGTAACAAAGCAGATTCTAGTACCAAGTCAAAAACTCTTCCTGACCACAGCAGATACTGACAGGAGAACGATTTCGATAAATGATTCTCCAATCTACCCGCGACCAGCTTGAAACAAGATATCGCCTAACGGCTCCGGCATAGGATTCCTTCGTGTCCGGTAAAGTTCTAGAGGGTAATCCTGAGTGGGCGAACACCAAGAACCATCATAGTCCCCCAACAAGGACAAGTCTCTTCAGTACAGGAGCTTCTGTTGGAAGAATGGGAACTCCCCAAAGATGGCACACAGCCGTCTATCCATGGCCAAGTTCTTGAGAATATCCAGGAAAGCATTCAAAGCATCGTTTTGAAAGCCCAATTCGGTTCTTATTGGTATATGCATCAATGGGGGCAGTGAGATCTTCCGTATCAATTCCCACTCCTCGTTCAAGGAGAGGTAGAGGACTGAAATTAAGGGGATATTAAAGTGATTGCCTGAACCAGATACCAATATCATCAGCAGGGATGGAAATGCTTTCGATGCACCGCATAGAGTTGCAAAGAAAGTAGACTTGGTCTGCTAGAAAGCATAGGCGGCGACGGGAAAGAGCCCCTTAGGATCGCTTCTTGAAAGGTCCAAGCCCTGGCGTCCCATCGTGTGTAGGAGAGTTGATGGTCAATATCCGTCTCGTCCGATGTAGGACCAAGCTACCTGATCCAGTACGGACATTGTTGTTGTGGAATTTGATGCGTCGAGCCAACCCCAGGTAATCGCTGAGAAGGACGTCACCGGCGGTGGTAGTAAGAGTACCGACAGCACACCCGTAGATAACGTCTAGCGCATGCTTCTGATTTAGCAATGCTTGAATTCGGGATTGTCTTGTGGAATAAATTATTTGTCGATCCAAAAAGTATCTCTACATTCCATATACTGGGTTGCGATGATGGCGTCATTGACAACCCTGGGAGTTTGCCCTCGGGTGACAATCATCAAAGGGATGATCTTGTGTTGTCGGCGGGCCCCATAGGTACATAGCTTAATGCAATTGATGTATTTTTATCGCATCTCGGTGACTTCCGGTATCTCACCTGCTAAGACGATCCTTCGACTGAAGCAATCTATGAGTCTAAATCCTGTGACCGGCGCGACTTGAGTTATCTGATGAGCAAGTTGCTCCACGATGCATCGAGCAATATGGAGCAAATGATGCGATCATTGCTTGATTACATCGAATTCGACTTGCTGCCCAAGAAGCTTCCAAGTGAGTTCGTCTGTAGAGATATTCAGATCTTCTAGAAACATCATCGGTAGGTGACGTAGAGGTACCTTTCAGCTTCGGACCATCCCTTTGGCTCGAAAGTGGGTGAGCCAGAAAATCAGAACACCCTTCTCTTCGACACCAACTGCACAAGTCGCGTTTGCCTGGACTCTCTTCGTCTAGACTCTTTTGGTTCGAAATGTGATGATATAAGGAAGTCTTTCGGGACGAGGTCTGGTGGTACGGGACCTCGTGGTCTGGAATGCCTGGATTACCGGAATTTATATTAATGAAGTCTATTACTCTTCCGGTTAGCGAGCCATACCCTGATGTAAGAATTCAAGAATGAATCTGAGGTTACTAGATCTGGTACCTAATGGTAAAGAAAATTTGATATCCTCCATTGAGGTGTCGACGTTCCGTTGTCGTGTCGCATTCCGAAGAAGCCTGAACCTTCCATAACGAGTTTTCCATGCCAAAAGGAAGCGACACCCTACCTGCCCAGCTTATTCATCACGTATTTTTCGGAATCCATCATGATATTTGAGCGCTTCCGGGCGGCCAGTCTTTCATGCCTCATCACTTGCAACGCCTTGATACATCGATGTGGCGGTCCGGAATGCCAGAATGAGCTACGATCTGTGAGATTCAAGTTGTTTCTGTTGTTGAGGCTTCTTGGTGGGTATTAACCGGGACCATATTAGATAAGGTATTGGCACCTCTGATGAATTACCTAGCTCGCATGGAAAAGTTTGACAGGTCCCAAATCGGTGTCGAATATTCGGAATATAAAACGTATTGTCCACAAATGCGTTTGTTGCACCCACCTGGGTCGTCCATTCACACGGGTCTGCCTTTTTTGTTTTGACTTCACCTTCATAAAACCTTTGTCATATTTCAAGGTACCTCCTCAAGCTCCACTACCTCCCATCATCTCACGTCGAGTACTCGCTGCTACAATAGACCTCATATCGCGCCCCAGCAAAGGTTTAACCAGCAGCAGCCCGACTCCCATACAACTCCTCCGCGGCACTCTTACTAACAGGGTTGTTCCTCAACGACTCCTGCGTCCCGCTCCCACCCAGCTCTTCAATCACCTTTTCACTGTGTTTTTTGGATTCCTCGCTTGTGTCTGAGTGAATGCCAATGCCAATTCCTGTCAGTTCCTTCCTTATCACACCACAAGAAATCATGTCGCCAGGAAGTGGGAAGGAGGGCGGGTATGAAGAAGAAAAAGGAAGGAAGGAAGGAGAGGAAGGGGAGGAAGGAAAGAGGGGGATAGCGGGGGCAGGGGAGAAGTGGAAAGGAGATCAGGAGGGAAAGAACATACTCGGATTGGCAAGATTGGCTTTATGGCCCCTAATCACGTTGGATGTGTGTTCCTTCCCTTCGTTGAGCTCTTTCATGTCGTTGGACATGGCGGACTTGGCGCCTTGCGAGGAAAGTTGGCCGGCGGGTTCTGCCATTTTGGCTGTAAGGCACTCAAGCGTGGAGTGCAGATGTGATGCGGAGATTATTTTTCGTTTTAGTATGGTAGGTAGGTAGTAAGTCAAGATGATCGTTGGTGGTGTTGATCAGAAGCAGATTATCCAAGTCGGTATTTTCCGATGAAGTGATTGAGGGATCCTATGTCGTCGTTCGTTGAAGGAGTATCGCGACTTGATATACATATTATGCACTGCCTTCCCTTTTCAGTCCTGGCAATCGGATGACGTCTTTCCAAGCTTTTCGTCCTCCCGATTTCGGCTTGCGAGAAGATTGCATTCCTGTTTATCATTGTCCCAAGGTGAGGATCTCATAGTTGACGTCATTCGTGGCCCGTCTTGGCGCTCAAGAGCTCACGGATTTGACTGCTCAACACTACCAAGCTCGAGCCAAGACAACTTCTGCTCTTGGCAGGGTAACCAAACAGTGAAGAGAGTTTGAAGTATGGTCCAACGCTTAAGAATCAAGGGTACGGAGGTCGGATTGTGAGACCAAAGGGACTGCCGATCAGATGAACAAACACCAAACGCCCATCACACACAAGCAAAAGACAGGTCCAGTGACGGTGACAGAAAGATAAGGAGGTCGATTCAGACGAACCTCAAACTGGTATCAACAAAAAAGCCACATGGTATCATTGGTGTAAACATCCATCCCCCGTAAACAAACCCCCTTCATCCGCTCCGATGTCATTATCCACATATCCACATTACAACGCCCAGACAATCCGTCCGTCCAGGTCCAGTCTATATATGCATTCACAACATCACACCCACTGCCTCGCACTGCTACTGCAACAGTTTAGACCTGCTTCTCAGGGTCCCTCCCGCTGATGCTACCAGCTGTGCTGTTGGGGGCAGTCAATCCAGGAATAACATCCAAGCTGCGAGTGACCTCCACATAATCGTACGCGAACTCGCCAAGCTGGTCGTCGTCGAGGCCAATCTCCTCCTGGTGGTGGTCGACACGGAGCGAGAGGCCGGGAACGAGGTTGAGGAGGAAGAGGATGACGCAGGTCATGACGAAGGAGTAAGAGAAGCCGGCGACGCTGTCGGCGAGCTGGTAGGCGAGCTGGATGTAGTGGTGGTTGACCCAGCCGCCGGCGATGGCTGAGTCGCCGATGGAGACACCGTCGAGAGCGGCAATATAGTCACTATAGCCGAGAAAGGTTAGTCATGGTCTCTTCGAAGAGGGGAGAGTGGATATGGGAGGAGGGTAAAGACATACGCAGCAAAGATACCAGTCAACAAGTTGCCGACAATACCTCCAACACCGTGCTCAGCAAACACATCGAGCGCCTCATCAATACCCAGAAGGAACTTGAGCTTAGTAGCAAAGTTGCAGCTGATACCGCCGACAACACCAAAGATGAAAGCCGACCAGGGAGGGACGTAACCCGCAGCAGGGGTGATGGCGACAAGACCAGCAATGGCACCGGAGCAGAAGCCGACGGTGCTCCACTTCCTCTCCAGCCGGTAATCGAGCAAGACCCAAGTCAAGCCACCGACGCAGGCAGCAATGTGAGTGACGATGCAGGCCATGACGGCGCGCAGGTTGGCGGCCAGGGCGCTACCGCCGTTGAAACCGAACCAGCCGACCCAGAGGAACACGGTGCCTAGAACGACGTGGGTGACATTGTGGGGGCGATAAGGCAGGCCGTTGACCTTGTTGTAGCCGTTGCGCTTGCCGAGCATGAGCGAGTAGGCGAGGGCGGCGGCTCCGGAGCTGATGTGCACGGGCGTGCCGCCCGCAAAGTCGAGACCGCCCATCTTGAAGGACCAACCATTGCCGTTCCAGGTCCAGTAGGCGATGGGGTCGTAGACGATGGTGGTCCAGATGAACATGAAGACCAGAGCGGGAAGCATACGGCCGCGATCAGCGCACGCGCCAATAGCGAGCGCGGGACTAGAGGGGTTAGGGGTTAATTTGAGGTCGTGAGGAAGGAAAGGGAATAGGGAATGGAAAGAAAATACGTACGTGATGGCAGCGAACATGCCCTGATAGAGGCAGAAAAGAAGGTCGGGGATCTTACCGCTGCCAACGCTTGGCTGGGCGAGGGTCTTCATGAGACCAAAGTTGGAGAGGTTGCCGATGTAGGCGCTTCCGGTGTGGGAGAAGGCGAGCGAGTAACCCCAGAAGAACCATTGAAACCCTACGATGGCTATCGACATGAGGGAAAGCCAAATGAGGGCCAAGGCTGACTTTCTTCGTGCAAGACCGCTGTAGAAGAAACCGACACCGGGAACCATGAGCAGCACGAGGGCTGTACATGTCATGATCCATCCGAAATCTCCGGCCTGGTGTAAGTCACAGGTTAGCCACTGATGTTCCTCCCGATCAGTCCTTCATAAGATAGCGTGGTGATGCCGTACAGAATAATATCGGTTGAGGTCTTCGAGAAGGGGGTTGCCTCCATTGTTGGCGACGCCGGCAACCCCCTCGTACGTTTCAACGGGGCCGGACGACATGTTGGAGGTTGATTCGATTCCAACACCAATTCGGTACAGATTATGTCGAGGTCAAGTGAATACGTTCGGTGGTGTTGTGGGCTGACCAGAGCATTTGTTATTGAAACTGTACACGAACCAAGCCCTCGGTGCCGTGTAGTGTTGATGAGATAGATGACTTGAGGTTGCAGAGAAGATGAGTTTAGGAGAGAGGGATCTACAGGATAAATAAAGGAACAGACCCAAGACCAAGGGCGAGGAGCTATGAAACATGTCAGCGATGTGTGGCATTCATGTCGGCCCTATGCACTCCAAGCTGCAGTTATCAGTGTTGGTGCTCCTTGATCCCCTGTTGATGGTGTCGAGGTAGGGCTCCATTCCGTTCTGGGAAACCCTCCCACTGCCGCCAAGACCTCAGCTTTGATGGATGGGTGGGCCACAGAGATAAGAAACCCGAACGCCGCGCCGTGAGCGGACGGTGGGGGTCTAACCTGTAAGATTCCGATCCATTTTTGGCTATTGTAAGCGGTCATGCTGGGCGTGTTGCCCAAAGAGAGTCGAAGGAAAGAAAGCCTCGTTCAGGTGGAGAAGCAGCAGAAATACCTCTGGTGATAGCTACACAGTAGTCGCTGACGAGCGCCTTCCAAACCATGAATAGCATCCAATCCGAATAACATCGGAAGGGCTGGGATAGCCGGCAAGGGGTGTACAAAGAAGAACCGTCGAATCTTACATTATCGTACCCAAGGACCACTTACGGCCTGTCGGGCAAAAGAGAAATTCGGAGCAGTGTGACCTAAAATTTGTCCCAGGTATCAAGTGGTTACACCGTTCCAGCTTGATGAGGTGAGAACAAACTTTGTGCGATGCCTTGTCGTACCAGACGAAGTCATGGAATCGTCGAAACCGTCAAAACTGTGATCATCCCCTTTTCACCTCCACTTGATCGATCTGGCCTAGTGATGCAGGCAACCTTTTGGGTTACATGATCATCCTGCAGTTTACCTATGAGCCCTTTCCCTCGTGGATAAACATGGAGTAGATAGTCATCAATAGACAGCCTTCTATATTGTGGCTCAATCAAGGAACACAGTAATCCGGGGTACGTTGGGTGTGGCACCACATGGAAAATGTGCCTCGGCGGCAGCGGGAGAATTAGCTGCGGTCAGCCATCTCCGGCATTCCACAGCATTGGTCTGGATGAAGAAACTGCCGCTTGATGATGTCGTGAGTGACTTGAACGTCACTGATCTGACGAGTCTTTGGTGTCAAGAAACGGAGGGACCCAAAGGGGACGGACGGGATATCGAACGGCAGACTCCTGTCGTAGGATTCTCCTGTCCGTAGGATTCCGATGCCAAGACTGTTGGCATTTGGTTGGCACCCAATCGGTTTGTATTGCGGCCGGTTTGGACTGATTCGAATCGAGCAGCAAAGAAAAGCCGATAAAGATGGAAAACGTTCGTTGAAGTGTGTCGTCCGACGGGGCTTACGAGAATGCATCGCTCCGTAGTCCTTATCAGTTTGGTCAACGCCCGGGCCCTGTTAATCAGGGTCTCCACTTCAGCCTACTGTGGAGTGTCAAGTAACCCGGGGAAGGGTCAGGGTTTGGGCAGGGCCCGGGTGCACCTAGACCTCCCACTGTGTGAAGGGTAGACTTGGGGGATCCACCTGATGATTATCTCTCCCGAGAGTCCACTTTAACCATTTCAACCACTGAGAACATATGCATCCGATATTGATGCTGAAAACAGAGGTTCTTCGCTTGAACAAAGCCACAAGTGGTCGAATTGGGCATTCATGACTGTACCAATACCGGCCGGTAAGAGATGAGGCGTTCTTGCCATTGGCGCCGTCCGTTTCTCTCTTATCTCTCGGCAAAGTGGGTCTCGACTTGGCACTCTTGGCGTTGCCCTGGAGCGTTGCCTGGTTGACTTCAACTGTTGAATCGATGATGGGAAAATGCGAAGGTTCAAGGAGAGATATCAGAGAGGGAAGCTATTCACAGAGAGTCAAAGGCAATGGATATAGATCTCAAAGTTCATAAGACCTCGGTATCACTCAGTCGTCTCAGTTTTCATGATGCACGACGTCCTCAGCCTCACGGTTGGAAGCACCGATGCACAACAGCCATGGATGTCTCTCGCACTTTCCGCAACACTTGATCACAGCATCAGTCTGTGTCGAGTTCTTCACGTTTCAACGAGAATGGCGGTAACAAGCAGATTCACCATTGACAACAGGAAAGAACTGGACGAAACATCCAAAGAGGGATGCCGATATTCGGAACGAACGATAGGTCCTTCATCTTCTTTGTGTTCTGCCAACCTTTCTTATCAACCAGATAAACCCGTCACCGGAATGCGATCTGGTTCTGGAAATCTTCACTAGCCGAAAGAGGAGCCTCCAAAAGAAACTTGGCTAATGAAGCTAGAATGGACGATTGCTGTCAATGATAAAAGATAAGAAGCTGACAGGCGGATGGTGACCCCATCCCGTCACGCCGAACCCGGATCAGTGCCTGATTGCCCGCGCTCCACTGCACTCTCGGCGACCCGACGCTAACGCATCTCCATTGAGGTGTCCACTGCATCCGCTGTTGTCCCCGTCATCTTGGCGTGGGCTTAGCTGACGCTTATTTTGTGGGTTCAGGCAATGTTTCCATGTTTGGAGCTGGGCATGTGGGGTTATTGTTTTTCTGTGTCAACACCATCGTCGCCATCATTCAACATCGCCCGTGTGAACAATATCACCAAAATGACCAAATGATATGGCACTTCTCAAACGAGGGACCATGAGATTTACCGCAGGTTCCTGCACTTTCTACTCACCATGTCCGAACATGGACACACACAACACGTGGCGATCTTCAAGGAGGGACAAGTGACCATCTGCCCTCCGCTTTTGACACAAGCATCTCGCATTATCACCAAACTGAGTATGCCTCATCACGCATAAGAAGATTTCCACTTTGCTGTAATTCGTCCTCACGGCAACGAGATCACACCAGGGCAAGCACGCGCGGGAGTTGTTCAGCAAGTCACATTCGACAAAGGCCAATCCAGGGCAAACGTTAAGACATTCTCATTACTGAACTCATAAACATTATATCTCATAATCAAGAGTCATCAAGTCTTTCTCCTGGCCTCAAGGTTGCCCAAAGAGGTTGGTATCCAATCCATCTTCTACAACCCCCTTTCTTTCTTTCTTTTATCATATCCAATGGAAATCAAACATCAATCCACCTAGCCATCCACTTATCCACCGTCGCCTTTGCCTCATCCACCAACCCCAACTCCAACAACAACTGGACACTGCCTCTAATCCCGCTCTCCAACGCCGATGCAATCCACGCATGCGTATAGCTCGTATGCTCGCCCACAAACACCAGATTGTTTCTCGTCTGGAAGTACTCCGGTAGATACAGTTCATGCTGTCCAACCGCCGGACTCGCCCACGACGCGCTCTCCAGGGGGTCCAGCGCCCAGCAGCGCCTGTTGAACTTGCCCGTGTACTGCTCCTTGACCAGCTCTTCGCCATGGATTTCCGCCATGGCGTTGAGCACGTACTGCACGTGTTCTTCTTCCGGAGTCGAAACCCAGCGGTCGCCCCACTCTGCTCCCGAGATGTACGAGGCGAGGATGGAGGCGGGGCCATCAGTGCCGTTGATATTGTAAGAGGGGTAGCAGATGGATCCGATGCCGGGAATGTCGGAAGAGGTGGAACACGACCCGTAGATGGGTTGAGGCAAGTGTTCCCAGAAACGGGTGCGGAACTCGAGCGCGACCTTGCAGGCGGATCTGTACTCGAGGTTTTGGATGGCGTTGGCCAAGGTGGGTGCTGTCAGGTCCAAGGCGGGCGAGAAACGCCATTTCTTGACGATGGAAAATGGGGCGGCGATGACGGCGTAGTCATGCTCGGAAGACTCGAACGAGTCTTTGTAGCTGTTGCGGCTGTGGAGCGTGACTTTTTGGGTTTCGGCATCAAATGCGACGCGCTCCACGCGGCGGTTCAAGGTGGTGGCGTTGTCAACGAGCGGGTGGAAGGAGAGGGGCAACCGGTTGAGACCACCGTCGATGGTCTTCCAGGTCGACGCGGAAAAGTACATCCCTTCGTACAGCGTGTCCCAGTACGAGTGAGCGCTGGCGCTTAGAAAGGCCGTGTCGTTGAGCGACCCGCGCAGGTAGTTCACCATGAAGCCGAACTCGCTCCATTGGTCGCCGGGCAAACCGGCTAGGCCGCCACTCAACCAGTCGGCGTGCGCTTTGAACATGTTCTGCGCCATCTCAGCGAAGAACTTGTCGGTGTCGGGGAGGAATGCGTCAACTTTCTCACTCAGGGACTTGGTGGAGTTGTTGGAGACGCGGGTGAGCGCCAGCGACGAGTTGGCGGCGAGCTCGGCGAGGGTGGGTGGTAGACCGGTCTCGGGGTTCTTGATGCCGTCGTGGTAGTAGAGGCCGTTAGAGTTGGACTGGTACCAGGGGATGAAGTCAACGCTCAGGTTCTTGGAGTGGCCGTTGAGGCTGTTCATCTCCTCGGCCAGCTGGAAGACGAGCTGGTGGTCGCTGACGTTGTACGTCTCGTTGCCAAGCGTGATGGTGTTGGGGAAACGCATGGGCCCCATCTCCTGGTAGCTGTAGTCGAAAGGCCCGCCGGAAAGGTACTCGGTGTGCACACGGCCACCAAGCCGGTTGCCGCCCTCGATGATGCTGACATTGGTCATGCCGGCTTGTGTCAGGCAGAGGTAGGTCATGAGACCGGACATGCCGGCGCCAACGATGGCGATGTTCTTGCTCTTGGCCTTTTCAACATCAAGGGCGGAAATCTCCTTGTCCTCAAGTAGCTTGACACCGTCGAACCACGGTCCCCATGGATTGATGCCGTTGTCCGTAGTCATATGAATGGCGACGGAGTCTGATGGCTTTGTAGCGCGGGCCTTGAGGTCACGGCGCATCTTGATAGACTTGAAGTCAAAGGACTGAGGTCTGCTGCGACCGACAAGACGGCCGTTGGCGCGGCTCCAGGCTGAGATACAGCCATCGGACTGTACATTTTCGGGAATTACCCACACGAGACGGTCGTGGTGAGCGTCAGTGGGCTGGCTGATGGAGTGATGAGCTTCTTCTTCACGCCTGGCTTGGCATGAACCGTAGGTGTAGCTGACGGCGCCCTCCACTGATGCTGAACGCTCAACATGGATGTTGGAAAGACGGGAGTTGAGTGACGACCGAGTCTCGAGCTTGAGGGGAAGGGGTGCAGTGACTGCAGAGTTGGCCGGTAGGGCGAGCAGTGCCGCACCCGCGGCAGCAGACCACTTCATCTTGTATGAAAGCAAGGAGACGGATGGATGAGGATCTCTTGTAGGGCTGAGGTGCTCAAGAGATTTGAAAAGGAGGAGGGGGATGGATGGATGAGAGAGTCAACGACACAACTCAATGTTGCGTTTCCATGAGAGCGAGAGAAGATAGCTCTTATATAGACCACCATCCAAGCATCCAGGAGTGTATTCCCAACGAGACCTGACATTATCCAGGCCCGGTCCTAGTCCGTTCCTCCTGGTGAAGCTCCATACCGAGAGAAGGCCGGTTGTACGTAACTGATCACCCCAGTCAGTCAGTCAGTCAGTCAGCCAGGCTCTCCGCACTGCCTAGGGCGGCTCAAGGGGAATGAGGGGGCGGAGGGGAGATACAGTATCGGCGTTACCCTCAACCTTGACGTTCCATTCGAGAACCCTTGCACTTCATGTTAAAGAAACTGATAACCAGCCGATGGCCGGGTCCCGAGTACCTAGTGTGCCGTATCTTTGAATCCCGGCTCTCGGATTCGAGGAGTGGAGGTGGGTTGGATCGGATATCGAACTGCAACTACATCCGTGCAACCTATTATGGTTAAGGCTGAACGGATGGGATACAAGCTGACAACCATGCACACGTGGAGATTCATCCCTACGCTTTAATGCTACCTCATTCGGTAGATAGCCAAGATACCCTAGTCCGATATCAGTCCGATTTCACGAGGTGTGTGTTTCCTTGCGGAAATCACAGTCTAACAGTCGGTGTGGAGATGAAGATTTATTACGGACTTCTTGCTTTCCTTCTAAGCCGTGTTGCCAAGCTGTGACCGTGAGAAACTCGTCATCTGTACGCCCTTTGCTTCACCTCAAGGCTGACACCGAGTCTTTGTCAGACTCGCAGTCAACTGAGCAAGACCGTCAAGGAGATGTATCTCGACCCTGACAAAATTGTTGAGACCCAGTTGACCCAGATCGCCCGCTAAGAACGCGTCCAAAGGTCTCAACAATTTGTTCAGGAACGAGGACGCACATCATATCCACTGCCTCTAAATCAGCGTAAGTCAGACTTTTATACCAGAACTCGGAATTGACACAAGTCAAGTTTTGCTTCGCCTCAACTTTGCACAAGGCCACCACTCACAACCGTCACTGACCGAGAAAACAGAGGGCATAAGCTGATAACTCCAAAGAGTTGAATCCTCCCTGCGGCGCTGTGAGTCAACAACAAACCGGCTCAATAATCCATCCGGTTGAAAGAGTGAGTTTTTACATAATTGTCAATGGCAACGATGGGACCACGGGACCTCGAAGACGAACGAAGGATCAAGATGCAGATGATAGTGCTAGCAACGAAATGCGAGAAACCTTTGCGAGTTGCGGCGCTACTGCAGCCCCCTGTAACTCCCCAATGCGTGCCAAGACATGGTCGAAATCCAAAGACGCTAGAAAGAAGGAAGGAAGACCTTGTTATTGTTGTTGTTGTTGTCAACCGGAAGGGCGTGTCTTCATGTTTCCGGGAGTCATCGAGGTGTCCCGGACTCGGGTGTGGAGCAATCAATAGACGGCTCTTTTGAAGGCGCGGGTGGGATTCGGTCGGAAGGGGTTGGGGTTTGATGGAGCTTTGTGCCCGGGGTCCAACCCCAACCGATGTCGGCCCGGGACGCTTATCTTCAATTGAGTTGGCTCTCCGAGATACCTTCCACTTCAGACTTGGATATCAGTCGAGAGATATGATATGTAACCGTATCAACCGGGGATGCTGACAGCAAAACAACAAACTATGCCACCAACAGCACAGCAATTATCGGCGAGGAACTAAATCACAGGGTAATTCTGACTTCTTCAAGTTCAAGATCCACTAATCTCAACGTTAATACTTCCCACCTGGACACGCTGATGGACACTTGACTACCTACGTAACAACAAGCCAAGATAGCAACCGCAGAAACGAGAAGGGGAGTGGTGAAAGTGGGGGCACAAAATATGATAGGATAAAAACCAGGATAGTTTCCTGCAAGGAGACAAGACCATTTTGACAAGCTTGGCATGACCGAGAAGACGGCCCCGGGATAAGCGATTGTACAACATCTGGTCTTTGCTCTTTGCCGAGCCTCCTCCTTTTCTGCTCGGGAGGGGGTTGCTTGAAACTTTCGAGCTCCTCAAGTGCCCAAGTCGCCGGCTTGGGTACGGTTGGAAAGGTGCACTTTGGTGTGGAAGTCCTCAAAAAAAACACCGGGAGTGAGCAAGATGCTGTGCTTCAACTTCCGTCAGCGCAGTAGTTAGGGAGCAACCGGGAAGAATCTTTGAAGAAGCGAAAGAAAGAGTCCGGAGAATATGATTGTCGACCGATTTTCACAGCCGAATATCATAGGCAACATCCACAAAGCAAAGAGGTCTGATGAGCATCCAAAGGGGTTAGGAATATGTGAATCGCTTCATGTACTGTCTATACGTACCCCCAAAAAGCCACAAAAACAACGCCGGCCGATCTGAACCGAGTCTCTATCGGTATATGCAAGTCTAAAGAATCATGTAGCCGACCATGTAGGTGTATTCTCACACCTAGCTACCGCTAGGTGGTTTCGTCAAACCCCCCTCCTCAAAGCGGGCCGCCAAAAGGATCTTCCAGCCCATTCCCATCAACCTTCCTCCTCTTCTTCTCCGGCGCATCGGCTGACAGATCGCCGCCAAAGATAGCAGCATCCTTGGCCCCGTTGCTGGCTGCAGGGCGCTCCTCTGAATCGGCACGTCTGACACCTGCCTCTCGGCGTTGGCGCTGGAGCTCAGACAAATTCCAGCGATCGGGGTCGCGACACTTCGTCAGCTTCTTGCGGACGGGCCGGATTTGGGATTTGAAGATTGCTTCCTGCGAGGTGGGATGATGCGTTAGCTGGTACTGCGATGGCGGTCTAGCGAAGACACAAAGGGAGCAAAGCCACTTACACTAGTCCAATGCGACTTCCTCTCCGGCAGTTCGGTGGACAGCATGTTCCTGCATGCCTCGATAGTGCCCATAACCTTATCTCGGATCCCTGGGCCGACTATGGCTGCGCGCTCATCGTTGGTCGTTATCCCCTTGCTACCACCCTCCTTTCGGCCTATCCCCGGATTCTCCAAACCAGGTAGTGGTGTCACGGCAGGGGTGTTATCGTTGTTGGTAGTGGGCGGGACAAAGTGGAAAGTCTCCTGAATCAGGCGCTCAGCCAGTCCGCGATCGGCAAGGGATAGTGCTGCGAACATGATTTGCGATGGTGTGTAGTGAAAGTAGGCATCGGTCATGAGAGGACTGAAGAGCAGGATCTCGTGAGCACGCTTTTCGGCTGCTATGATGCGTTGTTCCTGTATTAGAGAGAAGATGTTAGCGACAGCCAGTTGGGCAAAGTGATGTCAGCATATCTTACGTCGATGTCCCCGTAACTCCTCAACTCCATCGTCGCTCCCATCAACGCCCTAAACGGGTGTCTGACCTCAAAGTTGAACCTGTTGCCCTGGCAAAGCAAAAACTCGCCAGCGAGAATATCCTGCTTCGTATTGAACTTTTGCTGAAACTCAATAATCCGAGGAAACCTTCCCTCCGCCTTACTTCCCACAAACAACGCTACGAGTATCATCTCCTGTGGTGGGTACGTCATGATGCTATTCGTCAGGAAGAACCTCCTGAAAAAGACCGTTGCTGTCGCCCTGACTTCGTCTGGAACTCCAAGATGGTCCGCCGCGCGCAATAATTCGGATACGTAAAAGGACACAAGTAAGGCCTCTTCTTCAGGTTTGAGGAAATCGGGTAAGGTCGGTGTGCTGTTCTCGGTGGGGTTGGGAGTCCCGTGTCCAGACGGGTCTGGCGTGTTCGCATGGGATGTGTTATTCGAAGTCGGCGGATTCGAGGCTGATGCTAGCATGCGCTCGGCTATTCTTTGACGGGCGATGGCGTTGGTCTTCTCGCGCATGGCAGCAAGCTGGGCGGGCGAGAAGGACCATGCTTGGAACTGCGAGGTTTCGCGGTATCGCGCGTCTTCGGACGCCATACTGGGCGGCTTGTAAGCTCCCACGGAAGTTTATTTCAGAAAGAGTATCGACAATCGAGGTTCGAAGTTGTCGTGGCTTAGCTGGATGTCGTAGGACCGTCTTGGGAGGGCAGATAGCAAGGAGCGGCGTGCAAGTGCTGCTTGGCGGGTGGCAGTTTGCGGATTCCGTAGAGATATTTTTTCCTAGGGGGTTGACGGAATGGTGTCAAGAAATGGGGTGTCTTTGAGCTCAGAATATCTCCAGTTTCCAGCGACAAGAATGAAGGTGATGTGTTGGAAGTCCGAGGGATGGAAGGGCAAGACGATGACGGGAGTGGGACCCGGCCGACCCTCGACGTAGCACCGAGTGGGTCCAGCAAGGTACCGGCAGGCAATGAGGCGTCCGTGCGTTACGACGTGTTTGTTCATCACAGGTAGGTATGTGCCACATCCTCTTCTTTTTCTCCTCACCATTGTCAAACAAATCATCATTGTTATTGATATCAGATACCTCGACTTTTTAATTTCTACTGTTTTTGCATCCCACAGGACGATACTAGGTTCAAACCCCCACGTTTACTCGTTCGATAACCGCTGCACGAAATCGTGGCTCCTGTCCACAAAAATGAAAATGCTAACCATTCATGGCATTACAGCCCAACCCTATTGTATACTTTACGCCAAACGCCTGCCAGTTGCAATGTCAATATTTATGCCTGCCTATACACCCGGACCGATAGTTGGCTCTGCCGTGACGTCTCAACCCAACTTTAAGAATGACTGATGCCATTCAATGCCCGGTCCTGGTACATCTAGTATGTGGATCCGAGATCCCGCCTAGCAGGCACCGGCGGGGGAGGCTTTTTGGAACGGCAAGGAGGCGGTGGAGGAGGAGCCTTACGAACTCCCAAGCCGTTGTTGACCACCGTATTGCTGGTTGTCCTTGTCAAGCTCCCGATACTTGTAGCCGGGCTCGCGCTGCGGGTACACCAGTTGTCTGGACTTCCCGTGTCGCTGGTGTTGTCA